TGTTTTAACTTTCTGCAGTGATTGAACATTTCGTCCAAGGGACAAAAGCACAGTGCAGCCTGCTGTATTTTTGCAGTTTGGAAATGTTTTCATGTTAAATAACAGGAAAAAAATTATAGAATTTTAAATACAAATCTGGGCTTCTTCATTTGATATTTATTTGTTAGTAGTTGGCAGCAAAACAAAAGTATAAATGTAAAGTAAAACGACTTTTCATTCTAAATACTGTTTTAGAAACTCTGCTCAGTCCCTGTGAGTAAAATTACACTTGCATTATGTTTGTAATCCTTTATTTTTTTTTATTTTTTTAATATTTTTTTCTTTATTTATTTATGATAGAGAGAGAGAGAGAGGCAGAGACACAGGCAGAGGGAGAAGCAGGCTCCATGCACCGGGAGCCTGACATGGGATTCGATCCCGGGTCTCCAGGATCGCGCCCTGGGCCAAAGGCAGGCGCCAAACCGCTGCGCCACCCAGGGATCCCTGTAATCCTTTAAAAATTCCTAAATCCTTAGCAAAAAAAGTTGACCCAAATGCTTAAATAAGGACTTTATTTACAGAAATGAATGTTTCTAGTTCTTTTACACTAAAGATCATTCTAAATATCATTTTTCTGGTGACTTATAAAAACAATATTCACTTAAGCCTGCTGCAGAAACAACATGCCTATATACTGTGCTTTTTTAGTACCTGAATTCAAAAGAAAGTTATTTTGATTGTGGAATAGTGCAGATTTACTTTAAAAAGGAGCTTTAGTATAAACTCAAATAGGTTGACAGAAGAGCAGTTTAATTTTATGTCTAAACTGGGCCCTTTTTATTACTGGTGATTAATTTTTTTTTTAATTTTTTTTTTTTAATTTTTATTTATGATAGAGAGAGAGGCAGAGACATAGGCAGAGGGAGAAGCAGGCTCCATGCACCGGGAGCCCGACGTGGGACTCGATCCCGGGTCTCCAGGATCGCGCCCTGGGCCAAAGGCAGGCGCCAAACCGCTGCGCCACCCAGGGATCCCTGGTGATTAATTTTAATTGACATTTTTTGTTGTGATTCCCAAAGTAAAAGGAAATAAAATCACAAACCCCTGTTGGATTTATCCCAGTATAATTCTTTTCAGGTTCTTGTTTTTGCTGTAGTTAGCTTTGATTCGCTCTATCTGCTTATCTGTGATCAGAAGTGACGTAGATATTATTGCTGCCACTACACTAAAAAAAGAGTTTGTTAAAAGTACCCAGATCGTATCAGTGGAAATAAACTCCCCGGGCCACAGTGTATTTGCCCTAAAAGGGTCAATGTGTTTGCGGTAAACAGTGTAACTTGAAGTTTATGTTCTCGTAGACTAGTTTTTACCTTGAGACACTTTTCAGTTCAGTTTGCTTATTTTAGGGGTTAGTATTGGCATCACCCCTTGATTTAATTTTATATGTCTCTGTAAACTGCCTACTCCAGCAGCTGCTGCTTCTCAACAGACCCTCTGCCTGGGTTGACATCTCCAATGTCATCCTTGACCACGTCCCATCCTCCCCCTCTGCCTTCGATCCCTCGGTTTCTTCTGGTCTGAAACACTGGTGTGGCCTACGGTCCCGTCCTTGCCTTCTTCCTTCACTTTTCCTTGTTCTGTTCCCAGGTGTCGGCCCCCTCTTGGACGTGAGCTGTTGACGTCCCAGTCTCCATGTCCTGTCTTGGACTCCAGGCCCATTTGCCCAGCCTCCCACTAGATGCCTTTACTTTCATGTCTTCCTGGTCTTACTCGACACAAACGCCAAACTGCTCGTAATGTGTCCTCAGAACTCCTGTGTTTCCCTGCTCACGCAGCCTAAGGCAGACTCTGCACGTCACGCGTGCTGGCTTCCGTACCCTCAAGCTCCCCCATCCACATAGCCGCCAGATCTTGTATATTCTGTCTTCTAGAAGCTTTTATTCAGCCTTTCTCTCGGCTCCCATCCTGGTTCAGGCTCGCCCAGGTCCCATCTCAGGACTGTAAACGTTTAGCTTCCCTTGGGGCCCTGCTTCCTGCCAGGGCAGGGCCGCCTGGCTTCCGTGACGTGTTTTTGGATCCCTACCTCCTGGCATTTCTTGGTACCTAGAAAAATCTTTGGAAATAACATGAAATAAATGACTCAGTCCCCTCATCTGACAACCCCGTAGGTGAGTCCAGGGCAGAGTTCAAAGAATGGAGAATTCAAGATTTCATCACAGGTGGATCTTATGCCTTCTTTCTCGAGAAACCGTGCTCAGGGTCTGTTCTGGTAAAGGGACTAAACTATCAGTACAGATTTACAAACTTACACACAGGTGGGGCCCATTTTCTGTGGGAAAAGTTGAGTCACCTGTGTTACTTACAGCAATCCCCAAACATTAGATTTTCAACTGTTCACCATTTATTGCTGAAATGATGCTTGGCGATATGCTGTCAAGTGTTCCGAGATGGTTTGTGTTCTTGTCAGAATCCCAATGATTCTTTTTTTAATTTTTAAAAATTTTAAAACATTTTAAAAAAGATTTTATTTATTTATTTGACAGAGCATGAGCAAGGGGAGTGGCAGGCAGAGGGAGAGGGAGAAGCAGGCTCCCCACTGAGCAGGGAGCCCAATGTGGGGCTCAAACCCAGGACCCTGGGATCATGACCCGAGCAGAAGGCAGGCACTCAACCAACTGAGCCCCCCAGGCGCCCCCAATGATTCTTTTTAACCCCCGTTGTCTCCTTTCTGCCCATGTTAACAACTTATCAGACAAGGAGAGGGAGCTCACAAAGCTTGTGATTAGTGTGTAGGAAGGATGGGCTGTTGGAACAGCCTCCGCAGCTTCAGCCCTGGCCGAGGTTGTGGTTGCTCCTCAGCCTCTTCTGACCTGGGGAGCAGGGGAGCAGTCGGGTTCTCCACTTTGTGTCTTACTCGTGTCTGTGCCATTTGCTGTCGAGTCACCATCGGTTCACATGACTTCATACATTTCCACTGCCCTGGGATCATGTAGTGAAAGCCACCGTTACCTCAGATGCAAGGGAAGACCCAGCATGGAGAAATGACACTTACTTTAACAAGCCTCAGAAGCCTGTATGAGCCAGTGTAAGACTTTTCTGTTCAGAGAGTTTAGTAATGGGGAAGATCCATGGGAGTCCTGATTTAAAAAAAAAAAAAATTAAAAAAAAAAAAAGCTAGAGTTTTAAATACAAATCAGGGCTTCTTCAGATTCATTTAAAATTTATTAAAAATAGGGGAGCCCGGGTGGCTCAGCGGTTTAGCGCTGCCTTCAGCCCAGGCTGTGATCCTGGAAACCCGGGATCGAGTCCCGCATCCGGCTCCCTGCACGGAGCCTGCTTCTCCCTCTGCTTGTTGTGTCTCTGGCTCCCTCTCTCTCCGTGTGTCTCTCATAAATAAATAAATAAAATCTTTAAAAAAAGAGAAAATTCTTTACTTCACAGAAATAACTTACCTCAAAGTCTTTACGAGCTTTTTTTTTTTTTTTTTTTCAAAGAGAAACTGAGGCGGTTCTTGCCCACATCCTATAGTGACTTGTTGGCAATGGTGTGAATGGTGTGAATGGAACCTAGGCTCCCTCCCTCTTCTCTCTGTCCTGATTTCTTTTATATTAACCACTTTCAGGTCTCCATGTGTTGTGTAATTTGGCAGGAGGGAAGTGTGTGACAGCACAAGCATCTAGTGTAAATGCATGCATGTGTTAATTTTGGCTTATTTCCTATCGTTAAGCTTGTATGCTTCAGGAATCAATTTTAAAAATATAGGATATACCTAAATATAGTTTAACTCTTTGCATCATATATATATATCCTGGAAGGATATATCCTTATGGCAGAGATAGTGTCTTTACGACATGTGTGATACGAAACCACAAAGAGAAAAATCTTTTGAATGATTGGGTCTTAGAGAATAGAGGCATACATTTCAAATCTGCCACCACGTCCCTTTCCTGTACGTGTAGATCTTTGACCTGAATTCCTAATGGGTTTTTTGTTGTTGTTCCTTCCTCTATAATGTTAGAAGACACTGAGCCTGTGGGTATTGGGCTTTAAATGGAATTTTCTTACATAGAAAAAAAAAAGGAAAAAAGTTGCTTTGGGTGTTAGGTCCTAACAAAAACTGGTGCTTCCTTATGAAGATTGAATCTGTGCCGTCTTGTTTCAGTGTTGTGGCTGCACATCATCTAAGGGACCACACAGACACTGTGGTCACAGACCCATCTTCATGCGTGCTGCTGCCGCCTTGAAGGCTCCCGTCGGAAGCGTAGGGACCATGAAAGCACACGAGACCCTTTGGTGTGTTCTCTTGATCACGGCCCTGCGTTGAACCCGAAGGCTTCGGAGTGTGTGTGGGAGGACGCCCCAGTGTGTTGCCGTGATAATGATACTGTCTTGGCTGCTCACTCCTCGGTTAAAGCTCCCAGCCCTGTGGTCAGAGCTAGTCGACTATTAGGAAATAGAGAACCGGGTAATAAATTGCCAGTTGTCCTTGCAGAAAAATAATGATGTGATTGGAAGAAATGTCGTATACGGTAATTTCAGTCTTTGCTTGTCATCCTCATCCCCCCATCTATTGTGGAAGATTCTCCAAGACCTACTGTTGTGAAGTCTAGAAAAACCGCGTGATGTTTTGGTGGGCCACAGGGGAGACAGACCTCTGGGAGGTGACAGCAGTGTGGAGAGGACCGTGGTCAGGGCAGTGGCACTACCCGGGGTTGATGCCCAGGCTCGTCACTGACCCTTGTGCAGTGTCGCAAGCACGTGCAGCCTCCGGCGCGGGCCTCGGGCGCATTAGGGGTGCCCAATAAGTATTGTTCCTCGGCTCCTCCCAGCTAAAGTGTGTGTTTGTTTCCCTGGGGAGGCATTGGCGCCCCCAGATGGCCCCGGGGTCCCACCTGGGTCCCGCGGGGCAGGTGGCCGAGCGGTCGGGAGAGCGCTGCACGGGCTGCCTGCGTCCAGTGCCGGGGTCCAGTGCCGGGGTGCCAGCCGCTGCGCGCCCAGTAACGCTCTCCCCTTCTCCGCAGGTGCCTGAGATCATCAGCTCCATCCGACAGGCCGGCAAGATTGCCCGCCAGGAGGAGCTCCACTGCCCGTCCGAGTTCGATGACACGTTCGCCAAGAAGTTTGAGGTGCTCTTCTGCGGCCGGGTGACAGTGGCTCACAAGAAGGCGCCCCCGGCCCTGATCGACGAGTGCATCGAGAAGTTCAATCACGTGAGCTGCAGCAGGAAGGCCGAGTTTGCCCTGGTCGCCCAGAATCCGGAGGCCCCCCCGGGGCCCGCGGGAGGCCACTCCTTGGCCGCTAAGGTCCGGGGTGTGCTCCAGCCCGTGGGGAACGGGGAGCAGGCCCGGAGGCCCATGCGCAAGTCCTTCTCCCAGCCCGGCCTGCGCTCGCTGGCCTTTAAGAAGGACTTGCACGATGGCAGCCTTCGAAGCAGTAGCTTTTTCAGCTCCTTTGAGGAAAGCGACATCGAGAACCACCTCGTTGGTGGACACAATATCGTGCAGCCGACAGATATTGAGGACAATCGAACTATGCTCTTCACGGTAAAATATCCGCAAGCCCCGGGCTCACCCCCAGGCTGAGATGTGCGTTCAAAGAGCAATCTCCTTTCTCGAGCAAGGATTCTTAGTAAATTGCTTTTGGATTTATGGTTGAATCTGTGTATTTTTATAGTGACTGATCCTTTTCTCAGGATAAATTCCTTACTTTAGTCCTAGGACTTTAAAATCATAGTTGGAAACCTGAAGAGAATCTATCCTATATCCTTGTTTTTAGCTCTCCCCTCCCCTCTCCCCTTAGTATTGTAAAAGAGGCCCCCAAAAGGATTTTTTTAATGTGTGTTAAGTTCAAGTACTATATTTCGACAAAATCTTTTAGTTAGAAAATACTCCCTCTGTACTATTTATATTAAGTCGTAAAACATCCTTTGTTAATCAGGATAATTGGATTTTGGGATAAGATGTCATTTGAAACTTGTACCCAAACTGAAATAATACTTCAGCCAATTGTTTACTCCCTTTTTTTCCCTCTAGAACTTTGGTAAATTAATAGCGAAGTGCCAGAAAATGAATGGACAGGGAAGCGGTGTGTGGCACGTGGGCGGGGTTCCTGGGTTCTCCTCTTCTGGATGGGCTTGCCCTCCTTGGGAGTCCCCTGGATCTGAGCTTCTGGGACCCAGGGCCCTCCTAGCAGGGAGCCGGTCTTCTGTGATATGGGGAACTGATTGTTCTTCGGCCCCCTTCTAGAATGTCACGATTGGTATCCTAGAGAGAGCAAAATTACCATGAATGTAATGTTCTGGTGCCTGACTCCGGGCAGTGAGATGGCTGGTGAGTAAGAGAGGTGTTACTTAGGTTAAGATGTTGTTGGATGTAAGCAGGTTTGAGACGAAGATGATGTGTCAGTGGGTAAATAGGGCTGTTTTCTTCCTCTCTTCGTCATTGACCTAACTGTACTATAAAGAGCTCTGTGTCGGCACTCAGGCCTGTGCTTTAGTCTGTGATCTGTATTTAAAAAGAAAAAACTCTTGGTGCCATCGTGAAAGCTGCTCCGCGCATGTATGTCCAGATACTTAGTGTGTGACTGCTGTGTACAGGGTACCCCTGCAGCATGCTAGAAATAACAGCAGTGAACAAGACAGGCATGTCTCGGCCCACGTGGAATTTAGATTGCTGTAAGTGGGACTGAGTGTACAAGTAATTGTCTCATTACACTTGTGGTCAGTGCCACAAGGAAGAAGTAGAAGATGCTGTGAACCATCTGGGGGGATTCTGGGAAGGCTTCTTGGAGGAAGTGATTTTCACGGAGCAGAGAGGTTCAGTGTGGCCAACTAGATATTCTTCTAGTTGGAGTATCCTGGGTTCAGGGAGCAGCAGGTGAGAAGGCCATGAGGGGAGGGATGGGCTGTTGCAACATAGTCCTCTGCTATAATGGAGTTTAATATGCTGACCCAAGGCTATAAGGCAGTGTTAAGTTATGCTAAAGCTCTAACTTTATTAAGTCAAGTGACTAGTATTTGACCGTCTAACACATAGTTGCCTAACACATAGTTGAGTACTCAACAAATGGCAGGTTATTTTAACAATAATTTTTAAAAAAACTTTTCAGTAAAATGGTTAATAGAAAGTGTTTTAGAAGTTTCAGAAGGGCAGCTTTAATTTTCTGGAAGCTTTACATTCAAAGAAACCTCACTTCCTTATAAAGGGGAGATGTGGCATCTGCGGTTTCATTGCTAACTTTTGGATCTTTGGTTCTTTGATCTCAAAGACGACTGAATGTACTAGCAGGTGTCCTGTGCTACCTGAAATCCAGAGGGTCAACAGAAAATCTCTAGAGGTGATTAATAGTCAGAATTTTATAGGAGCTTGCCCCTTTTATTTTATATTTACATGGGTCACAAAATGAGAATGTTTGTATAAGTTTGAATTTGGCTTTCATGAAAAATAGTTTCTTTTTTTGTCTTTTAAGATTGGCCAGTCTGAAGTTTACCTCATCAGCCCTGACACCAAAAAAATAGCATTGGAGAAAAATTTTAAGGAGATATCCTTTTGCTCTCAGGTAAATGGAGATGGGTTATTGGCTCATTTGCATATGAATTTTTAATGAATTCTGTCATTCAGCACAAGTGCTAAAAGGTCACAAGATGAATGTCTTCTAGCTACACTTGATTTACTATCTTGCATTTTTCCTTTGATTTGGTATAGTAAGGCAAAATACACATTAAATTTTGAAATTAAAAAATTCGCTGTTAGCAACCATAATCTACTGGAGAACGTAGACCTACCTTTCTCTCTTCAATTATTGGTGGTAAAGTTCTGTAGTCACAAATCCAGATGTATACATGTGTGTCTGTGTGCCTGTCTTATCTATACATTCATACGTCCACAAATATTTTTAAATAGATTCTCATTTTTACTTTATAAAAATTCTTATTTTCTTTTTGGATAAGAGTCATTATTTCTTCTTCCTTAAAATAGTGATTATCCTTAAGGATGTTTTCTTCAGAATATAGTGTCTGCCTCTGTTTCTTGATAATCTCCCAAGGTACGTTTCGTAGAGAGATTTTGGAAACTCCGTTACAATGAGCTATGTCAATTGTACTCATGGTCTTCCTAGCAAATAGTAGATTACTTAAAGTTATTGTTTGGCTATATTTTAAAACACTGGCTTCTTATTTCCTTGCTTCCATTTTTCTCATAATTAGTAAGATAAAAGGAAAATCTCATTGTTGATTTATAACATGATCTACATTAAAAAAAATCCCTTTTGAATCCTTTTCCCAAAATGTGAAAGAATGTTCCTTTTTATAGTTGAATAGGGAACCACTTACAAAATAAATTTTTCCAAATCCTGTTCCCCAGAGAACTAACGTCTAGCATGTGCTTATCTTGCTGTGGGAGAACATGGATTGAGATGCCAGGATATGTCCGTGATTGCCCGTTTACTGGAAAATGTTCAGCCTGAAAGTGAAATTATCTGCAAAACTTAGTCTCGATTTGCTGCTATTTCTATGGAAATGTTAATGTTTAAGGTTTGCTCCTTCATGTAACAGTTTTATTATTTCCTAAACCGTGCAGCTTACAAGCATACATGATGACTCAGATTTCTAGTTATTAGCACTTGTATCTCTGCATGCTAGTGCTTTCTGGAGACACTCAATATTAATATTTATGGGCTATGTCTTATTTGTATCAAGGTGCCTCTTAGTTGATACTTTTCTTCCCCTTTTTTTTTTTAAAGATTTTATTTATTTATTCATAAGAGACACAGGCAGAGACATGGGCAGAGGGAGAAGCAGGCTCCCTGCGGGGAGCCCGATGTGGGACTCGATCCCAGGACCAGAGATCATCACAACCTGAGCTGAAGGCAGACGCTCAACCACTGAGTCATCCAGGCGCCCCTTAGCTGATACTTTCAAAACAAGTTTACATATTTATTCAAAAGAGCTCATAGGAAACTATGGTGTATGGCCTTGGCCTTCATATCTTACATTTAAAAACTTCTCTGCACTTTATGTGTATAGTTCTTGACTTATTCTTCATACCAGTGTACTTCAGTACTTACCTGTTTGTTCTTGTAGGAGTACAAATATGTTTGAAATCTTTTTGTACTTAACCTGTTTGTTCTCGCAGGAGTACAAGTATATTTTAAATCTTTTTTTTTTTTTAACCTGTGTGTCTGTGAGTGTTTGCATGTGTGTGAGTATGTGTGTGTATAGTTGTAGTTCATTAATCTTTTGTCTACTTTTGATTTTCAATGTAGTTTTTTATTCTTTAGTACTTCAGAAAAGTTCTCATTTTTCTCTGTCCACTTTTCTACACTTCCTTTTAGTACTAAAATGACCATTAAAAACATTAGTTCTTGTATTATGGGAGTAATAAGAATAATATTTTAGTAGAACTTTGTTAATCTTCATATTTGAGAGATGTTTGTAGATATTTAAAATATCTGAGGAAATTGTGTGGAACCACAAAAGACCACAAATAGCCAAAGCGATCTTGAGAACAACAAAACTGCAGTTATTGGAATCCAAGATTGCAATATATACTACAGAGTTGTAGTATTCAAAACAGTATGGTACACACATAGATTAGTGAAACAATATAGAAAGCTCAGAAATAAACCCATCACTGTATGGCCAGTTACTCTATGACAAAGGGGGCAAGAGCGTACAGTGGGGAAAAGACCATATCGCTTCAACAGTGCTGCTGGGAAAACTGTGGACAGCTACATGCAAAAGAATGACATTGGACCACTTGTTTACATTGTACACAGATATAAACTCAAAATAGATTAAAGATCTAAATATGTGAGACATGAAACTGTAAAACTCCTCAAAGAAAACACAGTAATCTCTTTGACATTGGCTCATGTAGAATTTTCCAGATATCTCCTCAGGCAAGGGAAACAAAAGTAAAAATAAACTATTGGATTAAAACAAAATAAAAGGCTTTTGCACGGAGAAGGAAACCACAAAAAGAAAAGGTGGCTTACTGAATGGGAAAAGATATTTGCAAATGATATATCCCATGAGGGGTTAGTATCCAAAATTACGTAAAGAACTTACACAGCTCAACACCAAAAAGCCAGATAATCTAATCAAAAAATGGGCAGAGGACCTGAATAGACATTTTTCCAAAGAAGCTATATAGATGGCCAACAGACACATGAAAAGATGCTCAACATCACTTACCAGGGAAATACAAATCAAAATCACAGTGAGGGGTCCCTGGCAAGGATGTGTAGAGAAAGGAACCCTTGGTACACTGCTGGTGGGAACACAAACTGGTGCAGCCCCTGTGGAGAACAGTATGGAGGTTCCTCAAAACATTAAAAATAGAACTACCATATGGTCTAGTAATTCCACCACTGGGTATTTACCCAAAGAAAACAGAAACACTAATTCAAAAAGATCTGTGCATCCCTGTTTTTATTGCAGCTTTATTTACAATAGCTAAGATGTGGAAGCAATCCAGGTATCCGTAAATGAATGGCTCAAGAAGATGTGCGTCTATATACACAATGGAGTATTACTCAGCCATAAAAAAGGATGGAGATCTTGCTATTTGTGACCCCGTGGATGGATCTCAGGGGCATTATGCTAAATGAAATAAGTTCAAGGAAGATGGATACTACATGATTTCACTCATGTGTGGAATCTAAAAAACAAAAATGAAGAAGCAGAGACTGACCCAAATATACAGAGAACAAACTGACGATTGCCAGAGGGGACAGGGGTGGGAGGTGCAGGCTTCCAGGTGTGGGATGCGTAAGTCACAGGGACGAAAGGCTACAGCACAGAAACTACAGTCGATGGTATCACAGTAGCATCGTATGGGGACAGATGGGAGCTGCACTTGGGGGGAGCACAGGATAACATATAGTCTTGTCAGATCACTGTGTTGTACACCTGAAACTCCTGCAACCTGGGTATCAGCTGTGCTTAAAAAAAAATCTGGGAAGTGACTTTATGGTGTTCGAGAAGACCACGCTGTGTAAGTCTTGTTGCCTTCTGGCGCTTGTGCCTCTTTGGGATATAGCTCAATGTTCCTTCCTGTCTCTCCCACCTTCAACAGGGTATTAGACATGTGGACCACTTTGGGTTCATCTGCCGAGAGTCTTCAGGGGGTGGAGGCTTTCATTTCGTCTGTTACGTGTTTCAGTGCACAAATGAAGCTCTGGTAAGTGAGACTAAGCAGTCCTTTTTTTTTTTTTTTTTTTTAAGATTTTATTTATTTGTTCATGAGAGAGAGAGAGGCAGAGACACAGGCAGAGGGAGAAGCAGGCGCCATGCAGGGAGCCCAACGTAGGACTCGATCCCAGGTCTCCAGGCCCTTGGCTGAAGGTGGCGCCAAACCGTTGAGCCACCCGGGCTGCCCCCAGACTAAGCAGTTCTTACCTGGAAAACTAATTTACGTGCAATTTCAGCCTCACTAATTTTCCTTTCCTCGGCAAACCATAGAACTTCATCGACGTGTGGCTATTTGGCTGTAGTTATCAGTCATGACTGTTTAATAACCAGGTAGTGCACATGCAAGACTTGTTTATGTGTTTTCAGTTTTCATTGTTTTTGAGGAACCTGCTCCATTCCACCTCCGTGGCTTAGCATGAAAAAAATGTCATTTTGAACGTTTGAGCCGGAGGAGTTGGCTTTTTCATCAGTGTTGAATTTGGGTTTTTAATTCTTACCTTCTGTCCTTTACGAGCTTTGAGCATCTAGGTAGTGTTTCTCAGATTGTAATCCTAGCAGTTATTACGGTGATTATTATCTATCAGCAGGTGATTAATAGTCCCCCCCCCCCCAACCTCAAAATCCTAAAAGTCTTTGCAGAGTCCTGAAATCTCTGGGCTTTTTGCTGGCTACCGTGTGTCTTCTCTCCCATCAGGTTGATGAAATTATGATGACCCTGAAGCAGGCTTTCACCGTGGCTGCGGGGCAGCAGACGGCTAAGGCACCTGCCCAGCTGTGCGAGGGCTGCCCCCTACAGGGCCTGCATAAGCTCTGCGAGCGGATAGAAGGTGAGTAGGGGCCCCCTTCCAGGCTTAGCACTGCGAGAGTTAAAGGGCTCGGAGGTAAAGGGCCCGGAAAAACCTCAGGCTGTCTGCCTTCCTTGAAAACTTCTGCCAAACAGAAGCTCCCGTTAGTTACAGGGATCACAGGTGAACTTTCAGCACGCGGGGCGGGGCGGGGTGTGGGGTGTCTTCTGTATGTTGCCGAGCTGTTGTGCTAGGCGCTCAGGATTTGAAGATAAACATCCATGTCCCCATAGACCATCACCCCTCCAGGGGTCTTGGTGGAGAGAGATAGAAGCTACAAATCCAGCCGCCTAGCATTTATCCAGGTTGTGAATACAAATCCAGGTCAGCCCCCTTTGCTGCCTTGAAGAGATCTGGTAAGGTAAGGCCACAGAATCTCCACCAGCTGTTTCAGTTACACGGTCGTTGGTAACCCCTGCCAGAACCAGGTTCACGGAGCTGAAGGTGGCACCGACGGGTTGTATCTGAGTCATGGGGAAGGAGTAAGAGGGAAAAAGTGTCGACTGTAGTTTCTGGAAATGTGGTGTAGGGAGAAATTGTGGCAAGTGTTATCATTCGCAGCTAATACTGAGTCCTGAAGATGAGCCAGGCACTGTGCTCTACTGTCTTTAACGTGTGGGAGGAGAGGGGATTGTTTATTTGTACCCTTTAGGGATAATAAGTCAAAGACTTGTGAAGTCTAAGGGTAAACTAGTGTGAGTCCAGGAGTCTGCCCGGGTAGGAAAGCCCTCTCTGTTACCTGTCCCCAAAGCTGCCCCCTGCCCCCCCAGGAGAAGGCTGTGCTGGGGGAAGAGCCAGCTGACCTGGCTTTGCACAGTTGGGGAGGTTTGAGCGAATCCAGAGCCACAGGGGCCCAGTGGATGAGAAGGAAAAGGAAGAGACCCCTCCTGAATGAGGGTGAGAACTTTCCTCAGGTGGGAAGACAGATGCTCCATTTCTGGGCTTGCAGTGGAGGCGGGGCAAGGGGAAGAGAACCAGGGTAAACCCACTACAGTGATCCTCCAAGGGAACCCAGCATTGAAGGGGTTCATCCCCCCTCTCACTTCGGTTTTTCATTTTTTTCCATTTATAGGAGGATTTTAAAAACTGTGTGATTATGAGGGGAGTCACAGGATTGAAGCAACCCATGTTACTGTTAAAAACAACAGATCTGATCATTTCCCATGAGTCTAGAATACTTCTAATAAGCTCAACTTGGGTAGCAAAAAAACCCCTATACTATTTAGATTTCATCTCCCTTTTTTCATAATTGTGGTAAAAGTGCACATCATATAAAATTGCCCATAAAATTGAAGTCCATTCATGTTGTTTTGAGGCCATCACCGCCATCCATCTCTGGAGCTTTTTTAATCTTTCCGAATGGAAACTCATTAAACCCTAACTCCCCAGCCCCCCTGCCCCGGCTCCTGGCAACCACCATTCTACTTCTGTCCCTGTGCGTGTGAGGGGCTGCAGGTACCTCATCTAAGTGGAGTCGTGCAGTTTTTGTTCTTTTGTGACCGGCTTATTTAGCATAACATCTAGGTTCATTCATGTTGTAGCATCCGTTTTGTTCTGTTTTAAGGCTGACTGGCATCCCATTGTGTGTTCATATCGCATTTATCTAGTCATCCACCCATAGACATTTGAATTGTTTCTACCTTTTGGCTGTTGCAAATGATGTGGGTGTGAAGTTGGTGTATAATACCTGTTCATGTTCCTGCTTTCAGTTCTTTTGGGAATATACCCAGAAGTGAATTGCTGGATCATATGGTAATTATGTGTTTAATTTTTTGAGGGACTGCCATTATATTTTCCACAGTGGCTACACCATTATAGATTCCCATGAGCAGTGCACGAGGGTTCCTGTTTCTCTACATCCTTGCCAACATGTGTTACTTTCTTTCTTAATTTTTCTTCTTCTTTCTTCTTCTTCTCTCTTTCTTACAACCATCCTAATGGATGTGCAGTGATATCTGATTTCCCTTTTTAAATGAGCTAAATTGACAATTAACATCTTAAGTTTCAAAAGTTCATTTGCTGGCATTATAGTGCTCTTTAAAATGAACCAAAATGATTAATATTTTCAGCTCTGCTTCCCTAGTTGTTACTATTTGCTGATATTATACAAAATATAGCTGGGAAGGAGAAAAGTTGAGCTTTATCTAGAGATCTCATCGGAAAGGATCACTAACTCTTCCGTTAGTGGTTGTCAAGTTAAGGGAAACGATGACAGAAATGTCCCTTAAGAGCTTATTAAGAAGCCAACAACAATGTTGGCCTTGAAGATAAAGCAGACTGTGATCTGCAGGGACTGGAAGGATTCCAGAGTTCTACTTGATAAATCTGTGGTCTGGCTTAGCTTTCAGAAAGTTAGAGCTGAGAAGTTCAGTCAAGGAAGGGATTTTGCTGCTGTAGAATTGGAATTATTATTTAATACATCTTTTTACCCGATAAAACCCAAGCAAAGCAGAAAGCTCTGCTAATGTAAAAACATTCTTGTTGGCACAGTTAGAAGGCTGGTGTACTGCTGTCCTGATGAGAAGCATTTCTTAAGTACAGAGGGCACACAGTACAGGCATCCTTAGTTGGGGAAATGCTAGTTTTACAAATACTTTGAGGCCTTGGCTTTTTGCTATAATGCATTCCTAGTAAGTAGAATGAAGCAGTTTATTTTTTTAAAGATTTATTTATTCATGAGAGACACACACAGAGAGAGAGAGAATGGCAGGGACACAGGCAGAGGGAGAAGCAAGCTCCATGCAGGGAGCCCGATGTGGGACCCGATCCCGGGTCTCCAGGATCATGCCCTGGGCCGAAGGTGGTGCTAAACTACTGAGCCACCCGGGCTGCCCAGAATGAAGCAACTTATTAAAGCCTATGGTGTGTTCCCATAAGAGTTGCTCTAATAGGAAGTGAGACTCTGGCCAGGAACTCCATACACTGGGGAGAGGACCAGTGACATAGCCATAGAAAGAAAGACGTAAAGACTGTTTTCTTAAGTCAATTGATATAGTCAGCTTGTGCTCCAGGATTTATATAAAAGGATATATACACTGTCCCCACCGATCACCTTGGATGCGCCACTCACAACATGTAAGAGGTGCAGCTGTGTTCAGGGCTGGATTGGAACTCTGAACAACTCCTAGTAGTGCTTAGTTAGCATTTTGATTATTTCATTTCTTTTAAAGATTTTTTTTTTCTTAATTCATGAGAGACACAGAGAGAGGGGCAGAGACACAGGCAGAGGGAGAAGCAGGCTCCGTGCAGGGAGCCCGATGCGGGACTTGATCCCAGGACCCCAGGATCATGAGCTGAGCCAAAGGCAGATGTTCAACCCCTGAGCCACTCAGGCGTCCCACCATTTTGCTTATTTTAAAGTTGAGCAGAGCATTTGGGGAATTACTAGAATGAATTGTATGTTCACTAAAAAGGAGAAAAAGTTGACCTGAGTCTCTGGCAAAGCAAAGCTGTTTGTCAGCCCTCCCTTAAATAAGAGCCTTTTCTGCTCCAGCTGTGTGAAGGTGGCCTCTGTAACAGCTGAGCTGGAGGGATTAGGGTTTTGGAATGCCCTTGACTGTGGTTACCTCTTTCTCTTCCTTGCGTCCCTTTCTTCCTGTAAGCCTTTGGTTTGGCATCACATGTGGAGGTGGGGGTGCCACCTTCTTGCTGTAGAATCCGGCCAGGAGTGGCTGACGTGTTAAGAAGCCATGTGGAAGGCTCACTGTAACCTGGACAGGAGAGCCAGGCACAGGGGCATTGGGCCGGGGCGGGGGGGTGGGGGTGGTCAGATACCTCACCCCCCAGTTTGAGGTGGGGCAGGAGGGACCTCATGAGCTGAGGCATCCTGAGGGCAGGGATAAAACTTGTCAAAGAATCTCTTCAGGCCCCGTGAATATGAAGAAGAGTCTGTACTGTGGCCTGATTGTCAGAAGGGTATAGTCTATCGTGTAATTTGCCTGTTATACAATTAGTCTGTTGTATAATAGGTTGAAATTTTCTTAGAGCTCGGGGGTTCTCTCCACATGTGAGTGTCTCATCAAAGAATTACCCAGATGTCCAAAATAGGATGCTGATTACATTGTGTAGGAGACCCGTGGAGAGGGCTCTTGGTTAATGATGATAGTGTATTTTACTCGCAAATTTAAACACTATTTTGACTCACCATTTAAGGAGTTAGTGCAGTAAAACCATCTCTCTGTTTCCCTGGCTTGTATGAGCGGCCAGCTTGCCAGAAGAGTACCTGAACCTCTCCCCCCCCCCCCCCCTTTGGGTCAGGCGACTTGGCTCTGGGCTGAGGGAGGCAGTGGAGAGTTTAAGGGTTGTCTGTGGAGGTAAATGGACATGTCTGTCCCTTACTTAGTCAACGGCCTGGGACAAAATACTGGACTTTGCCTGTGCCTCTTCATTTATACATTGGGATTCCTAAACATGGTGCCCACTCCAGGGATTATTTTGCGGATTGAGACGATGCACATAGCATTGAGCATAGCACCATAGCAATCACTTAAGAAGTATTGGCTTTTATTTTTATAGGACCTTCTTGGCAAAACATAAGTGGGGGAGCAGGGGTGGAGGGTGGTTTGCCGCTGGGAGGAAGGATGTCTTGGAAGCTGAGAAGGCCTCTGCAGTTTGAGGGACAACAGCTTCCACCAGAGATGTGAGCAGGATGGGGGCTCTGCATCCAGCCGGGGTGGAGGGGTGGCAGCTCCGGGGCAGGCTTGGCTACTGATTGGCCTCCTGACTTGACTAGTCTCCTGCCTGGTTTCTCTAGACCTCAGCAGACACCTCCGTAACACACAGGCTTGATTTCCAAGTCCCGGGTCCAGACTTCAGAGGTGTCCCCTCCCCGCCATCCTTAGCCATGTAGATGCACTCACACTGTTCTCCGGGGCAGAGCCTTGGCCGAGCACCTGCCCAGTGGCCCAGCCTTGGGAGGAGGGGCAGCGAGTTGCAGCAGGTGGGTGAGGTGAGGGCTGCCCTTGGAATAAAAGTCCTCAGCCGCAGTTTTCCCACGATAGTTAGGTCAGCAGATCCTTTCGTTCTCAATCTTCTCAGCATGTGCAACATTTATCTCGGGCACCAGGAAAAGGCAAAACAGGATCTAAGCCGTATTTGCATGGGGAAAGAACTTTCCAGAGTTATCAGATTCTCATTGGCACGAAGAGTGTGACTTCATAACTTTTCCTTGCAATCCTCTGTAATGGTCATTAGATGGGCTTCTGACTGTTAATAGGCAAGGGGTGATAAAACGAACATTGTTAGCCACACGAATCCGTTTTATGTGAAGGAGCCTTGCATGGAAGAGAAACATGTTTCAAACTGAGCAGCAGTTGTCAAGTATACATATATAAATACTCATGAGAATCTGTTTTCTGAGGTCAGTGTTCTGACTGTGCGAGGTGTTTTCACACGGAGTGGTGGAGAAAAAAGCAATTCGGCTTCGTGCAGACCCGAGGTGGAGTCCCACGTGCTGGTCTTTGGAGAGCGCTTCAGCTTTCTGGGTCCCCGGTTTCCTTAACTGTAAAATGGGGATAACTGAATCCCCTTCACTGATTGTTCTGAGTGTTAAATGAGGCAGGCCCAGGGTTTTTAAGACTGTGCCCAGCACACAAGGGCTCAACTAAAAAACGTCAGTTGTCGTCATTGCCATCATGAACATTATCACTGAGAAGAACGTCCGTAAACATCGGAAGCCTGAGGGAGGTGGGTAAGGATGTAAGAAGCACGGGGACGGAGGTTTTACTCTGCCCTGTGACTTCTCCATGGAGTGTTCTCATGTCTCTCTCTCTCTTTTTAATAGGAATGAATTCTTCCAAAACCAAACTAGAACTCCAGAAGCACCTGACGACATTAACCAATCAGGAGCAAGCAACTATTTTTGAGGAGGTTCAGGTAAAGTACTGGTCTCTGATTTGTAGACTGCAGGCAGAGGTGAGCAGCTTACCTCTCACCTCTCCTGAGATAGAGGTATGTATGAAAGATAGCACACGAGAGCTGTCACGGCTCCGAGTTCTTCTTGGTTTACGCTTAACAGCCCCAGGGCAGGGGCCAGGTCAGATGGCAGGCTCGCACCAGGTGAACACGACCAACCCAGAATAGGACTCCCCTTTTAAAAACTAGTTTGGGGAACGCCTGGGTGGCTCAGTGGTTGAGCAGCTGCCTTCGACCCAGGGCGTGATCCTGGGGCCCTGGGATCGAGTTCCACATCGGGCCCTGCGGAGAGCCTGCCTCTCCCTCTGCCTGTGTCTCTGCCTCTCTCTGTGTGTCTCTCATGAATAAATAAATAAAATCTTCAAAACAAAAACAAAACCCAAAACACTAGTTTGGAATAAGAGAAAGGAAATTGCAGAGTGGAAAGATCCCTCAGCCCAGGAGACGGAAGGCGTGGATTTTGGTCCCCAAGCACTGCTCTGCTCCGCAGGAGGCGTCTTCCAGCCCCTTCCTGCCCGGGTTGCAGCCCCGAAGTGTGGGGGTGGGCAGAGACAGCATTTTGTACGTGAACTTGGTCAGTAATCTGGTCAGTAATCGTTCCTGCCTTTTTCCTCAGTGTTGGAAGTGAGTTGGGGTGATGTTATCTACATAGAACCGTCTGTCAAGCCTAAGTGTAAAAACAAAACGGCAAAACTGAGGCCAGGCTCGTCGGTTTTCTGTGTTAAACCTGGAAATTGGCTCTTGCGTGTAGATGCGACGTATCTCGGGGAAACCATGCTGCGTGTGCTGGCATGCCCGTAGTGTGCTCATTAGGAATCCTTAATGAGCTCATCACAAATTTCACGTCTGCTTTAGCCGTGGGGCATTTTCTGTGGTTTCCTGGCACTTCCGTAGGGAGGAAAGCACATCAGGACAAAGAATACGTATCTTTTTTGTTTATTTTTTTTGGGGGGGGGGGGAAGAGCAGCAGGGGTCCTTCGGAGGAGGCAGTAACCAAAAAGGCCGGCAGCCCTGGATCGCAAGTTCTCTCTGCCTCCTCACTGGGTGCAGGGTCTGTTTTCTGGCAGGACTGACACATGTTCAGAGAAAAAGCACAGGAAGGTTTTTTAAAATTTCGTAAGTAGCTTAGAATGTAACCTTCACAATTTCCAGTTGCCTTTAAATTTTCCTGTTTTCTTCTGAATTGACTTGAGACAGCCTACTGTGTGTTTTCTTAAAGGATCTTTAGAGTTCTGAGTGCACAGTAGTTAGAAGAACTTAGTGTGATTTGTACTTGGGATTCATAAATGGGCAGGTAGTTTGTGTTAACGCATTTACAGTGGAGGCTGGGGCCTTTGCATGTGATGCCGGTCTGCTTGCTGGTCTTGTGCTGTCAAGCCACTTTGGGGAATGTCTTTGCAGCAAGCTTAGGAGATGCACATCTTTCCTCTCCTAATGTGAGTTTTATTTTTTATTTAGATAGCACTGTGTAGCCATCTCAAAACTGTGTGATAAATTAGCATAGGTATTAAAGTGTTCTTCAGCAATGAGAAATTCCTAATGGCTGTGATTCTGAGATTCTCTTTGATCCATGTAACTTTTTAGACATCCATCCAATACATTATGGAAAAGAGACTTTAGAGAAAAGTGACACGAGTTTTTTTTTTTTTTTTTTAATGCATGCAGTTAATACCTTGGGGCCTCTGTGTGTTGTTCTAGAAGGCTCTGTTAGTCAATTGGCTTAAAGACTAAAAGGAAATGACACTGGTTGTGAAAAGCCAGCTCTTTGTCCTCCATCATCGTAAGTGCGGCTCTTCCTTGGATACAGATTTGACATGGAGCTCTTCTAATGGCTTGAGGGTTTTGCTGTATTATTTTCAATGACCATTCTTGGTTCTATAAAGCATTTTATAAACCCAGTTCTTTCTAGGTAGCACTGCCTGCTGATGCGTTTGAAAATCATACCTTTCAAAAAGAGCATGAAGAAAAAGGTGGCTTAGGTAAATAGAAAAGAAATAGAAAAGGTAAATAGAAAGGTTAATCACGTTCCTTTGTACAGTTTTTCTGGAGGGTAATTTATTTCTGAAGAACTCTCCACGGCAGATCTTCATAAGACAAATTAATGGTACATGATTACTTCGTTGTTAAAGCATACATAATCAGTGTTTTTGTAAATAAATGCTTAATACAGAGGAAAAAAGTGCAGAGCACAGAGGACTTGAAGAACAGAAATCCGTGATAGCCGTGGAAATGTCGCAGGAGGCTGACACCACTGCACGTGAGCTGACTTTGAGCACGCTGAGACAACTTGGTGCCAGAGAAACATGTGGTCCTATGAACCCTTTTGTGAGAGGGCTCATGACACTTCAGAGCCATTCTTTAATTTATGACCTTATGAAACGCCTGATTTTCAAGCATATCCAACTGTGCAGCTGTGCAGGTGGTGCACAGGGTCCTGCTCTCTTCCCAGGCCGTGGTGCTGCTTTCCCAGGTCACTTGGGTCCCCCTCAGTGCTTTCAAGTCGAAGTAGGACTAGTAAAGAGAATGTCTCAAAAGTCCAATTCTCTTCTTCTGAGCGAGTGTTATTTCAGGGAATGGCTGAATTCATACGGAGTAGATAAATCGAGTACATTCGTACTCAGTAGGTGTCAGTAATGGATTAAAGAAGATGATTTTTCACAGGTTGTAAAGATTAATAGAGGAGCTTTTTCCCCTCCACTTTGTGAAGAATATCAACTCCAGTGGATTTTCCATGGCTTTAAAATTATTTCGTATATGATTTTTAAAATATTTTATTTATTCATGAGAGACAGAGAGAGAGGCAGAGACAGAGGCAGAGGGAGAAGCAGGCTCCATGCAGGGAGCCTGACGTGGGACTCGATCCCGGGTCTCCAGGATCACGGCCTGGGCTGAAGGCGGTGCTAAAGCGCTGAGCCACCCGGGCTGCCCCGTATATGATTTGTTTATGACTTTTGAAAGTTGTCAGAAAATAGCGTCCAAGTGAGCATTGCCATTTTAAGTAGTATCCTCAGAAGACCATAGACTCTCAGCATTCTGGTATTCATCAGTGTGGGAAATTTCAGTTTTTAATCACCTTTGCAACCGATTCGATTCTTAAGCCTTCTCAAAGAAATAAGGTCAAGAAACGTGTCACAGAGTTGGCTCTTTGTTACTCTTAGCAAGCAATCAGTTGCATTTGTTTAAATGAACTAGAACAGTAGAAAAGCACACAAATCAGTGGTGTGTGTATTTCAGTGAATTTTTATAGATGAATAAACCTGTACAGCCAGCCAGCACGAAGATTGAGGTAGCGTATATCTAGCTCCTCAATATCACCCCCCAAACCCAGCTCTGTATTGACCCAAGGGACCCCCACCCCCGCATCCTGACTCTGACGTTGCAGATTGATTTTTTAAATTTTTTTTTTATTTTTAAAGATTTATTTATTTATTTATTCATGATAGAGAGGCAGAGACACAGGCAGAGGGAGAAGCAGGCTCCATGCAGGGAGCCTGATGTGGGACTTGATCCCGGGACTCCAGGATCGTGCCCTGGGCCAAAGGCAGGCGCCAAACCGCTGAGCCACCCAGGGATCCCCTGCAGATTGATTTTTTACAAGAAAGTTAATTTTTGATGGAGAGTGATGCTATCCAACTTGATTACCCATCATTTTCCTCAGACTTGTCTGACTAATGAATGTTGATAAAATTAAATCACCTGTAGAAAGGAATGACTTACCACTGTGGAGGGTAGTGAAGCCATATGAGAGGTATTTAGGAGCAGACACCTTGCTAATCATTTTAACTCAGTAGAAGAGTAGCCCTAATCATGTTTCAGTATTTTAAGGAAGGATTTATGTTTTGACCTTGCAGGACATCATGGACGTGAATTTCTAAGCTTAGTGACTTTCCTCTATGATGTTTGATGAGCTCAGTGATGCAGCTTTGGGTCCTTGGCTTCAGTTTCATGGGCAGTGACTGTGATAGTACATGGTGCTTGGTTGTCTCATTTTCTGTCCATCTGAACAGATTCCCCATAAAACCTCTCAGACCCCACCCTTACCCTGAGGCCAGTTTCCCTATTATTAACATCTTGTCTTAGTGTGGTACATTTGTTCCTGTTGATTAGCTCATATTGATACATTACTATCAATTAAAGTCCATAGTTGACTTTAGGGTTAACTTTCAGTGTTGTACATTCTTTGGGTTCTAACAAATGTATAATGGCATGTATCCACCATTATGGGATTATACAGAATTGTTTTTCACTATCCTAAAAGTCCTCTATGCACCATCAGTTCATTACTCCTGTCTCCCCCCCCCCCCCCCGCCCCAACCCCAGGCCTCCACTGAACTTTTGCTGTCTCCCTAGTTTTGCCTTTTCCAGAATGTCGTACGGTTGTAATCATACGGTGTGCAGTGCAGTGGATTGGCTTCCCCTTAACAACATGCCTTTAACATTCCTCCATGTCTTTTCAGGCTCGAGAGTTCTTTTTATTTTAGTGCTGAATAATATTCCATTTTATAGAGGTGTCACAGTTTGTTTATTCACTCACTGTTGAAGGACATCTGGGTTGCTCCTAAGTTTTGTCAGTTACAAATAAAGCTGCTATAAACATTTGTATGTTGGTTTTAGTATGGACATAAATTTTCAACTCATCAAGCAGTGTGATTTGCTGGATTGTACAGTCAGAGCATGGTCGGCTTTGTAAGAAGCCATCAGACTGGCTCCCAAAGTGGCTCTTGGTCATTTCGCAATCCCACCACAATGAATGAGAGTTCCTCTTGCCTCCTGGGCGTGTAGAGTCACAGTATTTCCATCATCATCTTGGGGGTACTCAGTATAAAGTTGGGATTGTGGCACTTGACTCTCCCTTTCCTTTCTTGAAGATCTCATGGGAACTTTCTTTGGAAAAATGCACTTGTTGGGGCACCCGGGTGGCTCAGTGGTTGAATGTCTGCTTTTGGCTCAGGTCATGATCCCAGGGTCCTGGGATCAAATTTCATATCAGGTTCCCTGCATGGAGCCTGCTTCTCCCTCTGCCTGTCTCTGCCTCTCTTTCTCTGTGTCTCTCATGCATAAATAAATAAAATCTTAAAAAAAATCCTTAAAAAAAAAGAAAAATACACTTGTTGCATAAAACATGTAAAACTTTATAACATCAAGGCTTGTGGCGTGGAATCAAGATTGAGAACATATGTTCTAAGATAGTCCTTAAATCTGAAATTTATAGAACAGGAAGTTCTCTATGAGAACAACCTTTCTAATCATTTACTATCTTTTCCTTGAGTTACAGGAACAACTTATCATTTCAAATGATCTTTTTTTTTTAAAGAGAGGGAATACCAGAAGGTCTGGGTTAGTGTTAGACCTTTACTTCTAAAACCTGTGACATGAAGGGTAAAATCATTGTTTCTAGAGTGGTTCAAGGAGGCGGTTGCTATGAGTGGCATTGATCCAGACTAGATGCTTGTATAGTCCATTTATTACACCCTAACTTTGTTTTGAAGGGCAGGCTAGAAGTTTGGAATAGGGAGAGAGGGGGGAGGGCAAGAAAATGGATAATCTCGCTATGAAAAACATATTTTCAAGGTTTATAGACACTCTGCAGAATAACATTTTTCTTCACATTCAAAGAAAACAATACATTAAATTAGATGGTCTTCTAAAAATGAACACTGATGTTTCAGATCTGAAGAATTTGGGACCTTGGAGTTTATTTTGTGCATGATTTTTCTTTAAACAGATGAGGAAGTTAAGATTACATGACTCACCTTTGGTCACACTTCTAGGCAGCACCCAGAACCTGCATACCCTGATTTCTAGTCCTCTGTGTTTTGCCACTAGACCTATCTGAAAAATAAAAGATGTAGGGAGAATTTCCTTAAAAGAGAAAGGGGGGGGGGGGGGAAAGTGAGTCTATGCCATGAAATCCTGCGTGCAAGTTTTTGCCTTGCAGGGCTTGCAGAAAGCGCTTCATGCTGAACAGCACATTGGATGTGTGGGACCATGACCCTGGACCAGTTTCTATTTTCCTTTCCAGTTCTCTAGCCATCAAAGTTTATAAACATGTAGTCATTATGGCTCTTGACCTCTGGATGTTTACCCAGATTTTATTCTTTTCTGTTTTTCAAGACTATTTGTTAAATATTTTGTCTGTGCTTCTATCTGATGTGAAATATTTATTTTAGGTATAAGGACATGAGAGGTCAGAAGCTAAATCTGGCTCCCTGGGTCCAGGGTCCCTTAGGAATGGTCTCCTTGTCTAGCTAAGATACTTAGTGCCCCCTAGTGAGGTGCTTGGGTAAGAACACCCATTACAATGGGTAAATGGAAGCTGTCCGCATTTTCAAAAGCACTGGTTTAGCAATTTATATTGACAATTAAAAACAAATGTAATATATTCTTTTTCTTTTTTCTTTTTTTTAAGAAATCGAGACCAAGAAGTGAGCAGCGAGAGAATGAATTGATTATTTCTTTCCTGAGATGTTTATATGAAGAGAAACAAAAAGTTCACATCCATATTGGGGAGATAAAGCAGGTATGGCATTTTTTCCCCCTTCTTTTAATTTTACCAGGATGCTGAGGAAAACAGACTCTTGAGGGTTTTCTCAAGTTCTGAAACCCTTTTTTTTTTCTCCCTATATTTTTATTTGTTGCACGTGTAGGGGAAATTTGGAAATATTTAGACTCTGTTTGGAGGAGGTGAGAAAAGTTGCAGGCTGTGTCATAGTGGGGGTGGAGGAGGCACTTCAACAAGAGGGCTGCTGTAGAGCTTCAAGAATGAAGTTTAAGAGTAGATATTGTCACAAGCGCCTGACCCGCAGGGAGCGAGTCTGTCCCCTCACTTTGCTCCCTGGTACATGGGAATGACATTGCACAGCTGCGTTCAGAATTATATGAAGTACCTGGAGATTCTTTGTAGTATAAATATTCTGTGCATGGAAGGGAGCACTACTGACAAATCAGGTACAGCGTTAGAGAGCCTGGCTTATGTGCTATTCAGACACAGAACTGGCATTAATTCCATTTTGCATGGTGGAGGTCCAAAATCTGCTTGCCTTCCTCTCCTGTGCACAAGTATTGTTCAGCTGTCCTGTCTCAGGGTACTGTGCTAAAGCTGGGGCTACCTGCACGTCTCTTCTTTGAAGATCTCCCGGTGTGTGATTCCGTACACAAGGTGTCACGGATCATTTTCTTATGTCCTTTAGACTCTGTGTAAGTCAATTCGTGATAACCAGTGTAGCTTCAAATGTGCATTTTGTTTTTAAGTAACTTGTAAGCCAGAAAATCTAGAGAAGAATCACTGAAAGATGTTCATAAAATCCTCAATTTTCCAAAAGTATATTGACTTTTTAAAAATATATTTATTTTTTATTATTTGAGATAGGGAGCAAGAGAGTAAGCACAAGTAGGGGTGGGCAGAGGGAGATGGAGAAGCAGGCTCTCCACTGGGCAGGGTTCCATCCCAGGACCCTGAGATCATGACCTGAGCTGAAGACAGACACTTAACTGACTGAGCCACCTAGGCACCCCAGGTTTTTATTTATTTTATTTATTTTTATTTTTTGGAGAGGGAGAGAGAAAGAGAAGGTGGGGAAGGAGGGGAAAAAGAGAGAGAGAGAGAGAGAATATCTTAAGCAGGCTCCATGCCCAGCACGGAGCCCTACATGGGACTTTCTAAAACCAAGAGTTGGATGCTTAACTGACCAAGCCCCCAGGCACCCCCAGGGTATTGCATTTTTATGAAATGCTTAACTGATGCGTTTCTATAGGGGCCTTAATGTTCAGTGGTGTGCCCTCACCCTGTAAAACACCTTTGCTTTTCTGGGCACTTCAGCGTAATAAGGTTTTACTTGGGTGAACACATGGCAGCTCTCCCCAGATTTCTACCCTCCGGTTGGCCCTGGCAATCAGGAACCTTTCCTGAGCACACAGAGCCTGTGTACAGTGTCTGACGTTTTTAATCTCCATGGCCAACCATAGCATCTCTTAGCAGGGAGATTTTTTGCTAGTCCTCACTGCCCCTCCCACACTAACACGGGTGCCCTGTCTGTTCCCATTCCTCCCTCCGCAAGATTGCATGGGAGTTCTGTGCTCCTCCGATTGACTTGGGTGGGCCACCCAGCCTACGCTTACAGTTAGTTCTCTGCTGCTTTTCAGCCTATTTCTTTTCTTGGTTTCCATTCCTTTTTTTTTTCTTTTGTGCCATTAATAGTGTTTCCCTGTTGGTAATTTTTTTTCTCTTGTCCCAACAGGAAATTGATAATTTTGAAAAAATTTATAACTGCTCGAGGGGAATGAAACATTTATGGTGGGTGGAAAGTTTTGACCCAAGTACAAACTGGTATTTAGGGGAACAGAGTAGTATCTTTGTAATGTGGGTATAGTTTAGTCCAGTGGAGAAATATATTTAATTTTTTTTCTTTTTCCATTTGAAAACATTAGAGAGTTTAATGTCACGGAGACCAAGCCTCACAAAGTAGAGCCATCAGCGCTTTCTCTTAGTTTTCTAAACATCCTGTTACCCAGTAGGCTCATATCTGTGCCTATAAAGAAGTTGCTCTGGGGGATCCCTGGGTGGCACAGCGGTTTGGCAGCTGCCTTTGGCCCAGGGCGCGATCCTGGAGACCCGGGATCGAATCCCACGTCGGGCTCCCGGAGCCTGCTTCTCTCTCTGCCTGTGTCTCTGCCCCTCTCTCTCTCTCTGCCTCTCTCTCTCTCTGTGTGTGTGTGTGTGTGACTATCATAAATAAATAAAAATTAAAAAAAATCCATATTTATAAAAAAAAAAGTTGCTCTGATCCCCAGTTTTGGTTGGGTCTCCCCCAGGATGGACATCCTCTCGGGCTCTGAGGATCGGGCTTTCAGAGCAGCAGTGGCTTTTAGATGGATCTGATGAAGCTTTGAGATTCACCAGGAGATTCCTGCTCTCATTTTCTGCTACTAAATAGTGTAACTACATGGATTTCATTACATTCTAATTACACCTAAAAATTCATGTAGCCTTTGGAAATGTGTTATGACCTGACCAAGAGAGGCGTAGAGCCATGGCTTTAACGGTGAAATTCTCTGGCCACCAGCCTTAAAAAGTAGACAGAAGACACTGAGCAGACTCAGGGCTGCATTTCTCAGAGCTAGTGGTGATGCTGTATGTGCTTTTCAAAGACTAAAATGGTAATGTTGGATAGTCGTCAGAGGAACCATTTTAATAAAATAGCAAACAAACCAAATGATGTTTTGTTCTAATGGAAAAGGAAGAATGGCTTTGGGCAAAGAGCTGTAAAGTACTAAAGTTAGAAGGTGTCGCATTTTAGTCAGCAGATGTATCGTTTCTACTTGTCTGGATAGAGCTGGTGCCAAAAATTAGTACTATTCAATCAGCTGCCCCTTTTTGAATGTTTGTCATGTACCAGACAGAGTTCTAATTTTTTACCTGAATGATTCCATTTTTTATACAACGTTTTTAAAGATTTTATTTATTTATTCATGAGAGACACAGAAAGAGAAGCAGAGACACAGGCAGAGGGAGAAGCAGGCTCCATGCAGGGAGCCCCATGCAGACTAGATCCCAGGATCATGCCCTGAGCAGAAGGCAGAGGCTCAATTACTGAGCCACTCAGGTGCTCCTCTACAACTTTTATGAGGCAGGTGGTGTAATTCTGTTGTTAGAGACGAGGACATGGGGATCCCTGGGTGGCGCAGCGGTTTGGCGTCTGCCTTTGGCCCAGGGCGCGATCCTGGAGACCCGGGATCGAATCCCACATCGGGCTCCCGGTGCATGGAGCCTGCTTCTCCCTCTGCCTGTGTCTCTGCCTCTCTCTCTCTCTGTGTGACTATCATAAATAAATAGATAGATAGATAGATAGATAGATAGATAGATAGATAGATAGATAGACGAGGACATGGGGAACAGAGGTCAAGGAGCACGTTAGGGAATGGCAGAGCCAATGTGTCTCAGGTCCAAGGGCACTGTCTTAATCATTATGCCTTTTAGGAGCATACTTAACAAAATAAATAAATAGATAAATAGATAAATTTATTTAGATTTTATTTTTTCATGAGAGAGACAGAGAGAGAGAGAGAGGCAGAGATACAGGCAGAGGGAGAAGCAGGCTTCATGCAGGGAGCCCGACGTGGGACTCGATCTCAGGTCTCCAGGATCACTCTCTGGGCTGAAGGCAGGCGCTAAACCGCTGAGCCACCCGGGCTGCTCCAAAATTTAATGTTCTATAACTACTCTATAGCCAACTCTTGTTTCACCTTCTTTTTGATGACTTTTAAAGTAAATGTCTGGGATCCCTGGGTGGCGCAGCGGTTTGGCGCCTGCCTTTGGCCCAGGGCGCGATCCTGGAGACCCGGGATCGAATCCCACGTCGGGCTCCCGGTGCATGGAGCCTGCTTCTCCCTCTGCCTGTGTCTCTGCCTGTGTCTGCCTCTCTCTCTCTCTGTGTGACTATCATAAATAAATAAAAATTAAAAAAAAAATAAAGTAAATGTCTGATACCAGCACTCTTTAATGTGCATGTAATTAGCTGTAGTTCAATATTTGTTCACAATTTCTTTTTGAGATTTACATCCTGTAAGTTCCACAGATCTGAGTGCACTACATCTTGAGTTTTGAGGACTTCATACATTCAGGCAGCCCACGCTCCCATCAAGGGAGAGAGCTTCCTCCACGCCAGAATGTACCCCAGTACGTCTTTGCTAGTCCTCACTGCCCCTCCCCGAGGCAACCACAGTTTTGATTATTTATACCATGCATTAATTTTGCCTGTTCTAGAACTTCTGCAGACAGATTCACACAACATGTAGTCTCTTAGTTCTTGTTCCTTCATTAGCCTGATGTTTCTGCTCCTCATATGTGGCATTGCATGGATCACTAGTTTGTTCCTTTTTATTCTCGTGTGCCAGGACCATAGTTTTTCTTTATCCTCCTTCTGATGGACACCTCCACAACTTGTGGGTGCTAGTTGTTCTGAATAGGACTGCTAGTGGGTATGCCGTGGCACCAAGGGATGGTGGTTCTGACCTGGATACTTCAGGGTAGCCACATAATTTCAAACTTGGCTCCAGATTTCCATGTGTAGAGTTCACCCATCCGTCATGGGATGGGCAATGTGATAACTGGTGAGATTTGCTCAAGGGCCCCAAATTGGAAACTTATCCAAGAACCAGCATCATCTTCAAAGGAGAAACCTCTAGATGCTTATTTTAAATAAGGAATGTATTTTCTAAACATGAATTATTTTCAAATTGTATTAGAATTGTGGTGATAGACCTGGGAAAGTGTCTTGTTAGGTGGTAGAAGAAGGGGGAGGAAATACTGAGCTAAGTGTACAGACATTCTTAGGCCTGGTTTAAAAAAAAAAAAAAAAGGAAAAGTGCAGTTGTATATACTTTCTACTGTGTACTTGGTCTTCTAGCCAGTGTTTTCTTTATATATCAAAACAATCCATTCAAAATGCTGCTTCTTGATGGAAACTTTAGTAGAGTTTGGAAGCAGGCCCACAGCTTTTTAACTTTGGGAGAGAACTGGTGGCAAGTCAAGGGCAGACCCCCAAGGACCTATGTGGATCCTTCCCTTTGCTCTGGAGTCTTTTGCAAGTCTGGATAGGCCCTGATATTTGGTAAATGATTACACAGGACCAATTGCAATGAGTGAGGCTCCTGCCCATGGTGCATGGTGTGTAGTAGGCACTGAGTCCATATCCGTTGGGTGAGTCTTGCTTCAGGTATGTGTTTCCCATGGGCCTGCCTAGTGATCATTGCTCATTCATTCATTCTTCAACAAGTGAGTGTGAAGTATGCAGAACACGCTCAGTATACTCTGTGGAAACACAAAGATAAATGACAGTCTCCCTTAAAGGAATTTCTAAGCTGGTCATCATTCTCTTAATGCATATTCTAATTCTCACGGAAGTAAAACTCTGATGACTGCATGAAGCCAAAGGTAGCTCTTATCAGAACCATTTCTCTCTCTTTCATGCCTTGCAAAATGTATGACATTCATTGATGAATTAGGATTTCATCAATTTCAAAGAAGACATAGTATCTTTGACCAGCAAATAACTAAATAAAATTTAAAAGCATAATCAGATACGAATTAGGGGAAGACAAATTAAGAGACCATCTATACCCATCAAATTGGCAGAAATTGAAAAATCCGACCATACCAGATAAAGGTGAACTCCCATTTACTGATACTGGGACTATGAGTTAGTACCATTTAGAGGAGGAAAATTTGACAGTATCTGGTACATATGAAGACACATAGATCTTGTGACTAAGCAAGGATAGTTCTGGTTATTTACCTTGCAGAAACCTTCACACACGTGTGATGAGCTATGTTCTGGAGAGATTAGTGTAGTCTCCTTTGTAAAAGCAAAAAGGAATCGATGTTTAACCACAGGAATGTGTACAAATTATGTTGTCATACAGTGAGCTACTACACTGTAACTACACTATAATTAAAGCGAGTGAATCAAAGAACATTTGTCAGCATAGATAAGTCTCAAAAACAACATTGGAAGGCAAAAGGTATTTATGGGAGAGTAAGTATAGGATGATACATTCATTTGAAGTTTCATCTACATGTAAACCACCATATATGGTTTACGGATACATACGTAAACGTAAAGGTACAAAATACCAGTTGACGAATACCAAATTCAGGAGTGGGTTATTTGTGCAGCTGGGAAATGGAGAGTGGTTCTAGTAGGCATCAAAGATGTCTGTAAAGTTTTCCATTAGACATAGGAAACAGAAGCTAAGAATCACGATCACTCATGTTACACTGTCAGGTATATTCTGAGTGCTTTAATGTGTATTAATTCATCTGAAGCTCAGAAGTGCTCTGTGTTCTCAGCCTGCAGGTGGAGGAACTGAAAGGCCCATAATGACCTCTCCAAGGCCACAGAGCTAGGGAGCCGCAGAGAAACACCTCACCTAGGCATGGGCTCCAGAGCCCGCGCTTCTCACTGCTCTCAACATGTTCGTGTTCACTTGGCCAAAGCTGGGGGGTTGGGGAGTGGGGATGGTGCAGATGCATGTGTCAAATTGGCCCGTACACTTTTCTGTATACTTGAAATATGTAACAAAGAATAGTCTGAATTTAGAGTATTGGTGGATGTGCTTGTTTGTGTTTTTCTTAAAAAAAAAAAAACAAAAAAAAAAAAACCTTTGTCCAGCAGGAAGCAATCAGGCAAGAATCCATAGAAGTAAGAAGCAGTTTAATCCAGAGGTCTTTTTTAGTTTTTTTTTTTTTTTTAAACATACCTCTTTTTAACGAATAACAGTAAACCTCATTTCATGGTTGGCATCCAAACGCCATTGTGTTGGCAGCTTCCTGTTGGGGTCAGTGAGGGGGACAAGCGTGGGTGCAGAGGGAAGGGGTCGTGGAAGCAGTAGGAGGGAGAGAGGAAGACATGGAGACAACAGAGCTCCATAGAAAGCAAAGAAGGTATTAATTTAGGGTTATGGAGTGGATTCTTCAGTTGATTATTTGTTTCAGCCTCAGAAACTCCCCCAAAGGTAAGTTATTCTTTATTTTGAAGAGCTAATACTGGCCACCTTGGTATGAGAAGCTCTGCTCAGTGCTTTACATGATTTACCTGTTTCAATCTCAGCACAGGGTTATGATTAGATCTTGAGGTGGGTCTGAGTTGACAGAGGAAGTAACTTGTTTAGGGCCAGTTAGTGAGTGACACCTCTCTGATCCGAGCACAGAGCCCAAGCTCTCCAGCTCTGTTAACTGAATGGTTTCCAAGCACATTTCCTTGTTTCATTTGGAGCAGTTGGAGCAACTCTTTGAGGCAGACTTTCCTCGACTTGTAGCCATGCCATCGAGGAGCAGATGAAGTGTGGTCACAGATCAGAATAATGGCCTGGGGTCAAAAAGATGCATCATTTATCATTCCTTTAAGAAGGAAGAGGGCAGCCCTGGTGGCTTAGCAGTTTAGCGCTGCCTTCAGCCCAGGGCGTGATCCTGGAGACCCGGGTTCAAGTCCCACGTCGGGCTCCCTGCATGGAGCCTGTGTCTCTGCCTCTCTCTCTCTCTCTCTCTAATAAATAAGTAAAATCTTTAAAAAGAAAAAGAAGGAAGGAAGGAAGGTGTAAGTGACTTACCTAACTTTGTATTGTTTCACTTTTTAGACCTCACAGATTGCAGCAGAGAATATTGGAAGTGAGTTGCCACCTAGTGCCACTCGATTTAGGCTAGATATGCTGAAAAACAAAGCAAAGAGATCTTTAACAGAGTCTTTAGAAAGCATCTTATCCCGGGTAAGTAGCATAATTTCTCCTAATCTAAGTTAAAGTACTTTTTAAGAGGACATATTTAATTATATGCCCTTATTAAAAAAAGTTTAAGTACCCTCTGTGTTCAACGTGGGGCTCAAACTCATGAACCTGAGATGAGTTGCATGCTCTTCCAACTGAGCCAACCAGACACCCTCATTTCTTTGCTTTTGTGCCATCAGTGTATGTTATAAAGTATAGAAGGGTAAAAACCTTTTTAATGTCCTCTCAGTCTTAAAGCAATGTTACCTACGTTTCAGTTTTTAACTTGAGTTAGGTTAAAAGAAATTTTCTTATATGGCATGGTATTTTTTGTTTCCCAAAAGGATGTTATTCATTGGCCAGTCTCTGTGGAGAGAACAGATTAGACGTAGTAAAGTGTGGGTCACATCCCCCTGAGTGCCACCAGGCACAGCTTAAAAAACCATTTACTGTCAGCCACTGCTGGTACGGGTCTGGAACTCTGTAGCGGGTCAGTGAACTGTGGCTCTCAGGTCAGATGCCACCTACCTCCTGTTTTTGTAAATAAAGTTTTGGAAACAGAGCCATATGCATTCATTTATCTATATTCTTAGTTCTTTTGTGCAGAGTTGAGTAGTTGCCACAGACACCATATGGCCCACAAAGCCTAAGAGATTTAGTATCTGGCCCTTTACAGACAGGTTTGCAGACTGCAGCTCTATATAGGAAGAGCGAAGTAAACATATACCCCAATCTGGGAGTTCCTTAAGAAATTACGTGCTGTGTGCTCCCCACCCCAGCGGATATAGATAACCTGTGGTGGCACTCCTGAGAAATCAGAGCTTGGTTTTCTTTAAAGGTGTCACACCTTTCTGGAGCTTGCAGTATCTTACAGGGTTTTTTGTTTTTGTTTTTGTTTTTGATTTCATGAAACACTCCATCTGAACCAATAATGTTGTTCTGGTTAAATTTTATTTTGTTTGACGGTTTTTCTCAGAATTTTGCAACATCCTTAAAATTAAAAACAATCCATTTGCAAAGCCAGGTGGCCACCTTTGAGAGCTTCCGAACAGATAGAATGTTGTCTGAGTGTCCTACAGCTGGTGTGTTGTGACAGCTTGGGACTCAGGGGAGAGAGGTGCTGAGTGTGTTTGCTTTAGTGCTTGCTTTTCTTCACAGATTGCCTCTTCTTCCTGCCCGCCATCCCTGCCAAATGACTAATCCACAAGGTGTTCGGGAACATTTAGGTTGCTGTGCTATTAAAACAAAAAACAAAACCAAAATGTTGAGTATCTTAATGCACATATGCGCTCAGCAGCTTTTCTCGGTAGATGCATTTTTCCTGAGATTGTTTAAATAGACCAAGCTGCCTCTACCTGATGCCTTTGCACAAGCCTAAGGGATCATAACTTGACTGCTTCTCTTTTGTAGGGTAATAAAGCCAGAGGCCTCCAGGAACATTCCGCCAGCCTGGATCTGGACAGCTCCATGTCTAGCACTTTAAGTAATATGAGCAAAGTAAGCACATTTCCCTTTCTGTGACTCCCTGAAGAAATCAGCAAATGGGTAGTGCTCATCTGCTGCCTACAGAGCCTACAGAAGGATTACAGGGAGCCCTGTATCTTACATCATGAAAAGTTTGGTGCTTGCAGACTTCTTGGTGCAGGGGGAGGGCTGGTCTTGCAATTCTGTAACTTAAGAGTTTCACATAACAAAGCAGGTGGCCATTTGGTAAGTAAAGAAGCAAGATCACAGTTTTAGACCACTAAGAGATACTTTTTTTTTTTTAAGAGATACTTTATCACAAAGCAATCAATGGACTTCTTGCCCAATATTAAAAGTAATTGAAAAAAAAATTGAAATTGGGAAAACCTCAAAAGTGAGTTTGTGAATTCCATGAAGTTTGCAACTTGAATTTTTTTTTTTAAGATTTTATTTATTCATGAGAGACAGAGAGAGAGAGAGAGATTGAGGCAGAGACACAGGCAGAGGGAGAAGCAGGCTCCATGCAGGGAGCCTGATATGGGATGGATCTAGGGACTCCAGGATCACACCCTGGGCTGAAGGCAGGCGCTAAACCGCTGAGCCACCCAGGGATCCCGCAATTTGAATTTCTGAATGTACTTTTACATTTTGGCTGGCTCTGGGATTATAATTAAATATTACTGTTTTTATAAATAGATAATCAAGCTTCACCCTTTGGGTCTGTCAGCAAGCACAGCTTTGTGATCATGAACAAGCCAACGGTTCTCTTAGGTACCAAACCTGCGTCTGTGTCCTTGTTTAAATTTCTTGCTTTCTAGGACACTTAAGCATCTTCAGCTTTTTTTAACCACCAAAAAATGAATCTGGGGTTTGCACTAGGGATGACAGCTTTCCTTCTGTTACCAAAGCTCCTCCAGATTCAAGAGAGAGGGCAGGGATGTGGAGGCCAGCTCCTGACCATAGAACTCAAGTTCTGAGTTTCCTCCTGAGGATGTGGCTTTCAAAGTTTTTAGACCATGGTCAACAGCAAGACACTCATTTAACATTGCGGAATGATTCACAAACACACATACGTACACACTTTGCATCCAGAATTAAAATCTCACAAAACAATATTTACTGCAAACAACCTGGGGTACATATTGTTTTCTTTGGTTCTTTTTGATTTTAAAAATGTCCATGGCGGACCATTGAAATTGATACTACCACCTGCAATCTACTGCTTGCAAAACACTGCTTTAGAAGTGTGCTTGCCATGTTCTCAGTTGCACCTTTAGTGGGTTTCTGGCGAAAATACAGATTCTGGTTCAGTAGGCCTGGGGTGGAGCCTGAAATGCCACATATCTGACAAGCTCCAAGGTGGTGTCGATGCTGCAAATTTGTGGACTCCCTCTGGGGAGTGAGGCTCTAAAAACCAGTCTTCTAAATATGATTTTCTGAGTTAAAATCTAGTGGGATGGAGCATCATCTGACCTACATCCATTACATGCTGGCTTCTACGCCACAGTTTAAAATTTGGAAATAGTATGGTTAATCTGCGATACACAGATGAGTGGAACAAAGCCCCTGCCCTTAGGAACTTATCTGGTGACAGATGCTCAAATAACACCAGCATCAGAGTGTAGAAGGAGCCCTGAGAGCTTGGAATAAGAGCAGGTGGTAACTTAGCTGTCCCAGGAGCAAGGGGAAGGGCAGTTATTTTCGATCAGTGGAACCAGAGAAAGTATGGGAGTGGGGGCAGTGATGCTTTTGAATTAGATTTTATTTTATTTTTAAAATTTATTTATTTTTAAAGATTTTATTTATTCATGAGAGACACAGAGAGAAACAGAAAGGCAGAGACACAGGCAGAGGGAGAAGCAGGCAGGGAGTCTGATGTGGGACTCGATCCGAGGTCCCCAGGACCACACCCTGGTCTGAAGGCGGCGCTAAACCGCCAAGCCACCGGGGCTGCCCTTGAATTAGATTTTAAAGGATAAGCATTACACCTGTGGAAATGGATGGGGAAGAGATTTTCCAGATCATTACAAGTAAAGATACTACGAAGAAGTTCATGTCACTCAAGTGACTTTTCTAGGAAGTCTTATTGTTTTGAATTCTTCAAAGCACAGATCTAGGAATATGCATGTAGCTTAAATGTCTAGGGTAATCCTAAGAGAAATGCAACTTTCAGAAGCTACCTGTTTGTATTGTGTATGGGAGTATCTGTATGTGTACTTCTTTACATCTTTTTTATTCTGAGATTGAGAAACTGTTACAAAAATAAGCTAGTTTATGTAATTGGATCTCTGCCAATACATTGATCATCTAATTGTTGAGAAACATCCAAGTGGCCCTTTTAGCTAACTGATCCTTAGCTTCAAAGGATCAGTAATTTCATGTAATTTGGAGAGAAGTTAGTAAGAGTTGGGATAAACAGGTTTGCATAGCGGAAATTGTTTGCTGTGATATATTGTCTTAGACAAAATTCTAAATCCTTAAAAGGATCATCAGAACTACAGAGTTTTGAAGAATGAAATATTCCATCTGTGTTTAAAGGTAATTAATATTTTGTAGCATGTTGGGAATTAAATTTTTCTGGTCTAATACCTACACAATTAAATGTATATAATCTCTCTCCCCTCGATAAATACGTTTCTAAAAATTAAAATCCTTAATACCTATCATCTGAAAGGCACTCAACTGTGTATCAGGTGAACACAATTTAGATTCTTCAGTCCATCATTAGATACATTCATTTCGTTTTACTCTTTCCATGTTGATTAATTTATCCTTTTAGCACTTTCTTCAGGGGCTAGCTGATTTGTGCCTCCTCCCACCCCCCCTTATTTTATATTTTTTGATTGGAAAAGAATATATTGGCCACCAGCTACGTCCTGGGCACAGTGCTAAACATAGGATTGCTTACTTTGAAAAAGTATGCATCCCAAAAACCTGTAGTATTAAAGTATTGCCATGATTCTCAACAAATGTTGGCGTTACCCACTCAGTAGATTCCTTGAGTACCTGATGCAATAACTTATACTTGTATAACATTTTACAGTGCACTTTCACTCGTATTCCCTTGCCTAATTCTTGAGACCTAATGAAATAAGTTTTCACTCTACCCTTTTATAGTTGAGAAAATTGGGGTACAGAGAGAAGTTAAGTGATTTGCTCTGAGCCGTGGCAGTGAGTGCCTTAAGAGAGATTCTTCATATTCTAAGAATATTTTTAACCTCTGGGATCACCAAGTTAAATTTTAACATTAGAACAACATCAGAGAGTCTTAAGCATGTGGGCAGAACAGGTATGAACGCACTCAGCAAGATAAAGAACTTCTTGATCTGTGCAGACAAGTTCAACGAGACCCTGCGTGCTACTTGAAAGCACAGTAGAGTCTTTTACAGAGAGAAGGGGTTATTTGCGGCTTCACTTACAACAGCTAAGTCCTTCCACTTGGGTTTGGGCAGGTTTCCCCATTTGTGCAGCAGCCTAGCATTTGGTCTCTGATAAGCAGGCACTTAATGGGTCTTCGTTTCCTTATATTTGTTGTTGGCCTCTAGATGGTGTTAGAATCAGATGTGTTCACTTACCGAAGTGTTTTCCTGCCACTGAGATTCCCTGTGATATGCCTGACCTGCTGTCCCTCTGCCACCAGGAGCCATCTGTGTGTGAAAAAGAGGCCTTGCCTGCCTCTGAGAGCTCCTTCAGGCTTCTCGGCTCCTCAGATGACCTGTCCAGTGACTCGGAGAGCCATCCCGCGGAAGAGCCTGCCCCACTGTCACCCCAGCAGAGCTTCCGAAGGCGCGCGAACACCCTGAGTCATCTCCCTGTGGAGTGCCAGGAGCCTCCGGAGCCGGCTCGGGGGTCTCCAGGTGTCTCCCAAAGGAAACTTATGAGGTATCACTCAGTGAGCACAGAGACGCCTCATGACCAAAAGTAAGATTTGTTTAAGAAATGTGATTTTGTTGTATAAATAGCTGGGGCATATCTCTTGTTAATCAGGCGTGTTTGTTGGGTGAGAGAGAAACCTGAGTCAGGTTCTACTGGGGGCTTACAGAGCTGACACCTGCCTCCCGCACCTTCCTCCCGTGGGCACTCTGTAGATGTGAGGGACCCTTGTTACGTGCTCAAGTAGCAAGTGCAAGTGTCAGGAGGAAGCAGGTAAAACGGAGCAGAAATGACCCTCTGCGTGGGTAGTAATCACTGCTCAAGCAGCGTGAGAGGCAGGAGCTCTGAGGACAAGTAGCAGAAGGGGTGGGTAGGTGAGTCCTCATCTGGAAACCCGGATTCTTTAAGTGGTGGGGTGGAGATGCGGCCTTCAGTTCATGAATGCATCACATGATGCGCATGAGAGGCGACGTGGGTGCCTCTGCTGGCTGCGCAGCCTTGGGTTCTGGTCCTCGCTCTGTCCTGAGCTGGTTGTGACCTGGGCATATCTGCTTAGCTTCTCTGTGTAGCAGATTCGAATGGGTGTTTTCTAAAATTTCCTTCAGTGTGAGAACTGTTAGTGTCTGCTAACCAGATTTACGAAGTTTAATAATTTGTCTCGGATGAGCCGTTGGAATTTTCTGGTTGTAGAGATGGGTAAGCGGCAGAGAGGGAGGTCTCCTGGTTCCTCCTGGTTCCTTCTGGGGTCCCTTGGCAATTCATTTGACCCCAAACGTCAGAGACTATAGACGGTCACAGAGTTATCTTTCAAAATAACTTTAAAAAATCTCTTAAGATCCCTCACTTCCTAAATCTGGATAAGGGCTGCACCTGTGTAGAGTTGCTGCTGGCCTTGCACGTACGAGCATCAGGGGGCTCATGCACGTGTAATGCTGAGTCTGTACGGAGGTGTTGGAAGTGTTTTGGGTGAAGAAATGAAACCATATGTAGCAGAGCCCCTCAGCTTCATTTCCAGTCAGCCGTTGAAAATCATTATGATGGTTTTCAAGAATTCAGCTGCATAACTCTGATCCCAAAGCAGGATGCATGCCGGAAGCTGGTATTTAATATGTGACATCTTAGACAGAAATAATTTGAGGGTTTATAGGGTTCTTGTCGTGTTCTTAAAACCCTGTGTATGCCCATTCCTTCTTTTTTTGCCTCTCCGCTGTGTCCCCGGCCCTCTGTTTCTGGCATTTTCAGTGATCGTGGACACATTCTTGTCTAGAGATTCCCAGTTCTCTGGCTAGGCCTTCAGTTTCACACGAGCTGAGGTGGTAGGAAAGGAGTTTCCCTGACAGTACATTTCCCTTCTTGCCAGGAATGCAGCTTCCTAATGGGTCGTGCTGGACAGAGGGGAGGGGAGGCTGGAAGGAGCCGCCTCCCCGTCTCTCATACCCGTTTTGCTTCCTGCTCCTCGTTTATGCAAAAGAAATGAGACCTTGAATTCAAGGCAGGTTATTGTTCATTTTAAAGAGCAATGTATCTTAAAAACCATGGATTTTGTTATACTTTCCTTTGCTTTTGGTTTCAGTGAAAAACAAAAAGGAAATTGCTGCCAGTTTCTAAAAGGGGAAGAGAGGAACAAGTACTATGGGGTGCATACATGTGTCAGAAATGGTCAAGAATGACTTCGCGGTACTTTTTTTTTTTTTTTTTTTAACTGAAAACTACCTTTACCAGTGAGACAGTGGATACAGAAGAGAAGAGCAGTCCTCTGGCTCTGTGACAGCTGGTGTTCAAGCGGACACCGGCAGCCTAGCCCATTCTTGCCTGTGTCCTCCTTGACCCCCCTGGAATCCGCCCTCTGCGACCCCCTTCGGGTCCCCCCACGGGTCCCCTCTTCTTCCCGCTAATCGCCCTGCCTTCTCTCTAATTGCTATTTAGTGTGCATCATCCACCTGTGGGCGAGCCTAAAAGTTGCTCAGGTCAGTCTTCAGCTCCTGCTCCTCCACCTCGTCTTAACCCCTCTGCCTCCTCGCCAAATTTTTTTAAGTACCTAAAACATAGCTCAAGTGGAGAACAAAGTGGGAATGCTGTGCCGAAGAGGTGAGCACACTCACGCGGCAAGTTCAGTGTCGTTTGTCTTCATCTTGCACAGAGATGATATGCTGCATGGCGGGAGAGGACCCAGGGCCACCGCTTGTGTGTGTGTTTGTGTGTGTGCGTGTGTGTTTGCGTGCTTGTCTGATTTTGGTTTTACTGTTTTCAGTCTATCATCTGAACTGACTTGATTTACTATTGATTAAGTTTACTGTCAATTAATTACTATCATCAGGTCTTGATGTCAAGCCGCCTCTTATAAACTTACTTTCCCGTCTCTGTCCGGTGTGTGCACACATGCGTGTGCACAATCACATGTACACAGTTTTTTAACAAAAATTGTGTTTGTCCATTCACACTGTGCTATGGGCCAAATCAGAAATTTCCTCATGAATTCAGGAAAATTATTTTTTTCCATTTTGAAAGTGAAAGTCATTTTGGAAGATGGACTGATTTTCTTGTTATGTTTTTATTTTATTCTGGCAAGAATGTGTAACGTGAGATCTGCACTCTTAACACTTTTTTAAAGTGCACAGCACACAATTGTTAACTACAGGCACGATGTTGCACAGCAGATCACTAGAGCTTATTATGTTGCATAACTGAATGGTTTTTGAATTATTTCATTGATTCCATTCACTTAAAATAGAATTTTGTTTACTGAATACAGAGGTTAAATCTCATCTGTAAACTTTTAAATTTCTCACCTGGTTTAATTTTCTTAGCATGAGAACTTAAGTGTTTATTTTAAAGCTTATATTTTATACTTTTTATGTTTGTATTTCTTTTATCCTAAACTCTCTTCTCAACCAAACTCTCAGCATCTCCTACCGTAATGCCCTGCGGAAAAAACTTCATTCTTCTTCCTCTGTGCCAAATTTTCTAAAATTTCTGGCTCCTGTAGATGAAAATAACACCTCTGACTTTATGAACACGAAAAGGTAGGGTTTAATTTAGATATATCAAGTCTGGGTAGAAGTGTTAAATTATTGATACACAGGGATTTTTCAGCCAATTTTTTTGACACTCAAAAAATAATTTTAGCTAAATCGATTGTATCTTCCTTTTTACACCTTCCTACTGAATGTTGCTTTAAAAACATCCTGTTCTCTGATTTTGCCTAGGAGTAGTTTATTAATGTGGTGTTTTCAGAAGATTCAAGGAAATCTTAACGTGTTCTCTAAGTGATAGCAGATATGGTGGTGGTAAATAAGTTGGGATGTCTGACCTGTGAGTTAAGGTGATCATTTAGTTGTGTGTACGTGGGTGTAAATCACAAGGCCTTCCCCAAGTTATCCTGTGAATAGGAAGATCACTGACCAGGCTATATTTATGATATGTGTTGATAAATATACTATGTTTTGTAGTTTAAAAAATATAAATGTTAAAATTGTTGTCATCAGCAAGTGACCATGTAATTATTTCGTTGATGACTCTGCGTAATCTAAATTTTTTCGTTTTTGGGGCCGTCTGCGGAGATGCAGACCTATGCTGAGAAATTATTCCCACACACGGACTAGGGGAGATGGTGGCCCTGGTGCCATTGCCCCTTTTAGACAGTTTCTCTTTTCTGAAGTGGTGCCAAGGAAGGTCCAGTTGGAAGCTAGTGTGATGTGTGGAGCATATTTCTTAATATCTTTTACAACGGAAATAAATTAAGGACATGTGATCTTGTGCTTTTCAAGAAAAGCATCCTGTAAGAAGGCAGGCCCCTGAGGAGTGCTGAGCCACTGTGGGCTTGATTCAGGTTTCATGATGATCTAATTGTGTTCTCTTATTCAAACATAATTGATAACGTAACGTTTTGTGTAAAAACACAACATCAAGCGTTATCTCCCTGCTGCTCATAAATCCATCATTCTGTGCTTTCAGGGACTTTGACTCCAAAGCTGAGCACCTTGGCGATGCCAATGGGACCCCCGTGAAGACACGGAGACACTCATGGAGGCAGCAGATATTCCTCCGTGTGGCAACCCCGCAGAAAGCGTGCGAGTCTCCCAGCAGATACGAAGGTACCGTACACCCTGGAAGTGAGACGCCTAGATTCCGGCAGGAGTAACAGCCGTGCAGTTTGGTGAAGGGCAAGATGAAACCAGATTTCAGGTCAAAATCATCCCCTGATTTCAAAGCTCCCTTGGTAGGAAGCTCCAGTGAACCATGCCTGTCGCTGTTCCCAGAGGATCCTCAAATTCCAGGGACGTGTCAGAGAACTCGGCAGCTTGCAGCACCTCGCATGAAAAATAGTGCCTCTGCCGAGTCTTTGTGGACCCCCGTCCCCGTGCATGTGGGATTGTGGAGTGGCTCGGCCGATGCCCCCACTGGCTCCCTCCCTTCCACTGTGTTCCCAAGCGTGTCTTCATCACCCCTGCAATCTGAGCATAGGTTTACACACTACCGTGGCGCAGCGTGGTGGCGGGGGTGCTCCTTGGTCCCCAAGCTCTGCTCTCGTTCCGCTCAATGTCCCCTCCCTCATCGGTTGCCTTCCCTCAGTGTGGTGTCGCAGGAAGACCACCCTGTGCCCTCTCATCCTGCTTGTGTCTCCCAGAAGTCTGTGTCCGGGCCTTCCTGTGTTGAGTCACAATGTAACTAATGAGTTTACATGTAGTTCTAAGTTTAAGATTTTTCTCTGCCTGGTGATAACGCTAAATTTTTAGCAGCAAGCATTTCTTTTCCTTAATGCTCTTTATTTTTTAATTTCTTAATTTTTTTAGTTTTAAAGATTTTATTTATTTACTCATGAGAGACAGAGAGAGAGGCAGAGACACAGGCAGAGGGAGGAGAAACAGGCCCCATGCAGGGAGCCCCATGTGGGACTCGATCCCAGGACTCCAGGATCACACCCTGAGCTGAAGGCAGACGCTCAACCATTGAGCCACTCGGGCATCCCTTCCTTATGCTCTTTAATCAGAAAACAATTTTTTCTTTAAAAAAGGCAAAGCAACAATAGTAGACCTTCAAAGAGTTCTTGAGTTCCTCAAGTTGCATGTAGCACAGATTCATTTTTGCCCCTTGAAATACTTCTGTGCATATGTTAAGCAGCAGCACGGGCTACCTGGAGAGTTTGCAGAGTACGATCTGTGTGTTTGCACCCTCCTTGTGCTCCTCACCTTCTGCCCCCTTTCCAGCTTCTCTCTCTCTCTCTCTCTCTCTCTCTCTCTCTCTCTCTCTCTCCCTCCCTCCCTCCCTCCCTCTCTCCCCCCCCTCTTTTCCCCTCCCTACCCCAGAGCTCTCTTTATTATTTAATTGAAAAAATGCATCCTCTGCCAAATTAAACAAGAGCCTGGTTTGGGTTCAGCTGGCTTTGCGATATGAATCATATAACTTTACTTACCTTGAGTCATAAAACAGTTATAGTGAATCCTGGCCCTTCCTATCTCGTGGAATTACATTAAATTATAAATGCGAAAGTACTTTGGAAACCTAAAGACCTATCAAATGTAAAGCAATACAATTATTTTTGTTAACCATTATTGAGGTCAGAACACTGGTGTTAAGCTTCTTATATGGTTGTTCCTCAGCAGGAAGGAACAAGTAAAGGAACACGGGAAAGATGGGTTTATAAATGTAGTGAGCTTTTTTTTTTTTTTTTAAGTCATTAAGTTGAGTTATTTCAGTGTGTATCAATTTAGAAAGTTTAATTTTAAAGACTTCATTTTCATTTTTGTAGATCGTCTGGTAATGTCCAGCAGCCAGATGGTATGACCCAGTTCCTACCTTCCTAATCTTCTAAGCCAAAAGGGTCTGCTGGACTGGCGACTGTGGAAAACACCAGGCTTGTAAAGTGCACAGCCTGGGAGACTGTACTCTTTGTGGGAGCACTGACGGCTGAGGAAGTGCAGTGAGCTCTGCAGGCCCCACCCCAGGGCTGCTGTGTGCCTGAGTAGGAAGTGTGGTGAGTGCCCAGGTGGACACTGGTGTCTGCAAGTCGGTGTCTGAGGGACCAGAGTCAGAAGGTTGGTCAGTGCTGGCAAATGTTTGCCTCCCTGGAGAACCCCAAGATAAAATGGGCCAGTAGAACGCACCGTGAGCAGCATGAGAGAATGTGACCTCATGTGGCTCAGCAGGTAGAAGCGTGGGCGCCATGGCGTGTGTCCACCTTTCTTTTTGGAAGCTTCTGTTTTTAACTGGTTTAGTTTGGAAATGCCATAAGAAACAGATAGTTAACCCCACGCTGAGTTCTTATTATGGTGTTTGCAGTTGACAGGGTTCCTTGGTGAATTCTGGGTTAGGCAATGCTGTTGGGCGAAAGTTTGCAGTGAATGAGATGGGATGATGGGTCGTTGCCCTAGAGGCCAGAGCGTGGAGCAGATCACCCCCAGTACCCCGAAGCCTGGGCAGCATGGGCTGTCAGGCCCTGAGAATAGAACACGTGGTATTTTGCATCTGCCCCACTGGAAACGGTACTCAGGAGTATCTGAAGGTCTACCCGGCAGGGCCCCCAGGGTCACTCGCGCACATACAGATGGGAAGCGGAGAGGTGGCCTCAGTATGGGAGGGTCTGGAGCAGCCATGAAGGTGAACTTGGGGATGGAGTTCAGAGCTCATTTAGGGACCTCTTCTGAAGGCTGGAGCAGAGTGGCTGCATTTAAATTCCAGCTTTTCTGCAGTGCCTGGGTGGCTCAGTGGTTGAGCATGTGACTTCAGCTCAGGTTGTGATCTCGGGGTCCTGGGATCGAGTCCCACATTAAGCTCCCCATGAGGAGCCCACTTCTCCCTCTGCCTGTGTCTCTGTGCCTCTCCCTGTGTGTCTCTCATGAATAAGTAGATAAAAATCTTTAAAAAAATAATTCCAGCTTTCCCCTTTAGGAGCTGTGAACTGGGACAAGCTGTTGAAACTTCTCCCTCCCGTATGATAGAGGATTAATTATGCTTGTTGCCGCACTGAGATAAGAGCATGAGATTTCTACTGGTATTTTATTGAAACGCTTTCAGAATTCAGAGATTAGAAAATCAGTGAGCTGAAGGTTTCCAGTGTAAAGTTACCCCTCCCTGATGCTCCGGGCCCACCACACCTCCACGCCCCCCCCCACAGGGGCACCTTCCTGCTGCCTGGAGCCCCTCGGGGAGCTGCGGTGCTGAGTGGCAGGGGCTCTGATTTCTCTCCCTGCCGTCCTGAGCTGGGTGGCCGTGGCCGGCAGTGCCTCCTCCTTCTCCTTCCCCTGCCACAGTGGGGAGGCCTGCCTGCTGCAGAGGGCTCTTCCTCCCAGGCCCCAGGGGGGCCTTGTTAGCAGGTGGGGCAGGTGGAGCAGAAGGGGAAGGAACCAGAGCGGGGCCCAGGAGGAGGAGTCGAGCTGTGATTTGTGGCTGAAACTACAGGACGGCAGTTAACACCAGAGGTGGGGTTTCGAGGCTTGACAATAGTGCCCCATATTGCACGGTGGTTGCGGAGACCGCCGCGTGGAGATCTATGTAACGTATTTAAACGTGCAGCGATAATGGGTTCAAAACTCGAGGTGTGCTGGCTGAGTGCGTAGTAAGGGCCAGGGACGACTGTGGGAAGCAAGCAGCCTGTCCCATCTTACAGCAGGTGTGAATTTTCCAGTGAATCTCTTGGATTGAGCCAAATCCTGCTCCCTGTCATCCCATCCCGTGGTGCCTCTCTGGTCTGAACATACTTCTACTTCCCGTTCCTCAGATGGCAGGAGGGCCTGGAAACCACTGCTCCCCCTTAAAGCTCCTCCCCAGCCCAGCTGCCCTCATTGCTTCACCCTCCTCCGGGTAAGCCCAGGTCCTGTCCTCTGAGCACACACGGTCCCTTGCCGGGGGGCCCTGCACCCACATGGTGTTCCCCTGTCCCTGGCCCTCCCGTGTACCTCCTCCTCCCATGGAGTGGCCTCTCCATGTATTCTTCATACCTTCATCATCTGTTTCTGCTTTAAGTGATTAACTCACATTCCTGGCTCTTACGATATCTTGTCCTTTGGGGCGTTAACTGTTATTTAAAAATCAGAATGACTTCTGGGTGCCCTCGAAAAGGCTTTCTTTTTAAAAAAGGTGTTTCCCCAAGCTCCTTCTACTTGTGAAGTGCTAGAGCATCGGTTTTGGCCAGTCCTTGTGGGATGGCTTTGAAGCTTGATACTGATGACCAGGACGTTGAAGAGAGCAGCGTAGAGTTGCGAGCCATACCTCTGTGCCTTGAAGTACTCGACACAGCAGAGCTCTGCAGGGGCACTGCTCCTGCCCTGCCTAGTCCATAATCATCACTCTTCCGGCCCCAGTTATTGAGCTACTGTTGATTCTCACCACCACCTGCAGGAAGGTATCCCAAGAGACCCCCATGCAGCGCTAGGTGACATCACGATCCTTGCCCACCTATTTTCTCTGGTGGAGGCTTCTGCTGGGGTCCCTCACTCTTGCCACACATGCCCTGAGGCCTTTGCATGGGCTGTTCTATTTGCCTGGAATGCTGTTCCCTGATAACCTCCTGGTTAACCTCCTCACCTGCTTCAGATCATTGCTTGAAATCACCTTTTCAAGGAGCCCTCTCCTGGCCACTCTATTTCAGATTGGACCCTCCGCTCCTACCACCAGACATTCCTAATCTCCTTATCCTGACTTCCTATAGCACTTATCTCCTTATAATGTGCTCTAGTATTTACTTATTCATGATCGCTCTCATCGGTTTCTCCAGTCATTACATGCTTGTTGACTTCTCAAGGAAGGCAAATAAACTGCTCAGATTTTTACAAACTTATTATATGCTCATTAGTGATTTCTTAACTCCCTCTCTCTTCCTTCTCTATAGGAACATGTCCTTCATGCTTTTTTTCTTTTAGAATTAAATGTATGATTTTGTGGGGGGGTATAATGTGGGTACTCTGTATGAGAGAGAAGAGAGAGAATTATGATATTTAGAACTCTGAATTGGTATAATAATAATCACTTATGCCATTATCTGTGGCAGGTGCTTTATAGGAGTTATTTAATTCCCAGTCAGCCTTATGAAGGTTGGCATTTTATGATATCCATTTCACAGATGAGGGAGCAGAGGCTTGGAATAGCTTAAATCACTTTCCCCAAACCAGAGAGCTAGTGGGTGATCGAGGCAGGCCTGGAGCTCACGGATCTGTGCTCAGAAGTTGATGCTGTGAACACTACACAAGGCTGGCTGTTGCCAGAGATGCACAGCATTACCTCCTGGGTGTGCTGCTTCTTCAGGAGCCCCTTCCCACACGAGGGTCCCTGCCAGCACCTACCCTGGAGCCCCACAAGTATCCCTGTCAGCCAGGTACCCACAGGTTTCTGAGTATTTTATTTTATTTATTTTAAAGACTTCATGTGTTTATCAGCGAGAGAAGGAAAGAGCATAAGCAGGGGGAGTGACAGGCAGAGGAAGAAGCGGGCTCCCCGCCACGTAGGGAGCTGGATGCGGGGCTCGATCCCAGGATCCCGGGATCATAACCTAAGCTGAAGGCAGACGCTTAGCCGACTGAGCCACCCAGGTGCCCCGTTTCCTAGTATTTTAATGTATGGACTCCCCTTTGGTTAGCCGTCTCTCCCTCCATGTCCACATTAGGAGCGGCGTGTGCAGGGGAAGGAGAGAGGTTTCTCAGTATCTGTGAATATTCTTCTCCCAAATCAGCATCTTCATCCCCTGCCACTGTCTGCTCCCCACCCGTAGGTGCAGAAATGCCCCCACCTTCCACTGTGCTCTGCGGCCACCTGGCCCCCACTGCAGCTCTCTGTGTCTCCCTGCAGCTGAGACACCTCCAGGTCCTCAGACATGGTAGAGCCCTGAGCTCCGTGTTTTTGGCCAGACGGTCTCCGGAGGGCTGTGTGCTGCTGGAAGTGGCTGGTGACCTCTGTTCCCTCCTTGCCCTGGCGGCTGTGCTGCAGCGGGTGGCTTCAGGGAGCTGGTGCTCTGCCTTGGGCACAGTGGAAGTGGAAGTGTGCTTGCAGGGAACCCTCAATCGTGCCTTTTCAAGTGTCTCAGATGCTCAGCGTGGCTGCCTCTGACCACTTGGCATTTCTGTTTCGGCAGTGCAAACTTTAAACAGATGGGAAACTTTCTGGCCTTTTTTTCCAGCCTAAAAAGTGAGGCCGGTGTTTGTGCCATCCCACCCATGTCATCCCACCTGGAAAATACTAATAAAACCACCAGTAATTTAAAAGCCATGCTGTTTGCACGAGTGTTAAGGATATAAGTGAAAGAGAAATAGAATTTCCTGTAACTCTGATGTCCTCATTTTTTTTTTTTTTTTTTTGACAGATGGGCTCAAACCCGGAGAGAAGAGTGTTAGTGAGGAGCGTGGCTCTAATTATAGTGCAAGAGGAGGAAAGTACAAAGGGCATGTGGACAGAGGTGGGCATAGAACCGGGCAGATGTTGTCTCCCACAAAATCAGCCTGTTGTTTATCCAGGGGAGTGTGACTCTCTATATACAGAATCTCTGAAATAATTCAGTGGCAGGAATCTGAATTTTATGTTCTGGAGAGCCTTCTGAAGAAGACAGGCAGTTAATTTCTATTTAGAAATTTACTCACATATGTCTAGTAGGACCAGCGCAGACGTTCCCAAATCCCAGACTGTTTGTTTTTTTTTTTTTTTTAATTCAACAGAGACCAGTTGGTTTCTTGTAGGAATCCCTGCTTGACTTTAGCAAAAGTCCAGGAGGAATTGTTTCCATCCTGAACTTCAGAGGGGCAGGGCAGGTGTATGCCATTGGAGGGAATGGAAGGGAATCTGTAAGTAGGGGAATCACCAGGTTGTACTTGCAGACTTGGCAAGGCGCATGTTTTTGCAATAAAACAAACATAGATCATAAAATAGAATACAAACAGCTGCGTGGTTGCTTCAATTTAAAACAAAAGTCTTCAGTGATGCTTTTTAAGTTTGTGGCGATCACTTATGGCTACTGTCCCAGAAAACCCAGGAAAATGCATTCTGTCTCCTATGTGTTCTGGGTTCTTTGGTGAGGAGTTTGTGAGACGCTAAGTAAGCTATCAACTCCACAGACATGGTATCATGGGGTGCAGTTCAATCTGTCCCAGGGCGAAGCTGCTGAGGGTTGTAGGGCATGGGCTGAGCGCAGAGATCGTTGTTCTGAGCGGGTGGTCATGCTGGGGTCTGGATTGCAGCCTTCCCATTTTTAGAGCCTTCCCAATGTTGATCCGACCATAGGACTATACTGAAGGTGAAGCCAGGGCAGGTGCTCCCATCTCACGGATGAAGACGCGAATGCCTCTGTGCATTGAGTGGCTGTGGTCTCGAATGTTCGTGTGCTTAGAGTCCTCTGGGGAGCTTGTACAGAGACAGGTTCTGGTCTGGTCCAGAGGTTCTCCCTTTCTGATAAACTGTCCGGTGATGCTGATGCTGCTGGTGCACTATGAGTAGCAAGGGCTTAAAACAAGCAACCACGATAAATCCAGTCCAGACCTTCCTTTTTTTTTTTTTTTTTTAAGATTTTATTTATTCATGAGAGACACAGAGAGGCAGAGACATAGGCAGAGGGAGAAGCAGATTCCCTATGGGGAGCCCGATGCGAGACTCGATCCCAGGACCCCAGGATCATAACCTGAGCCAAAGGCAGATAGATGCTCAGCCACTAAGTCACCCAGGTGCCCCCAGCCCAGACCTTCTAGACATAGAATGGGACTCCTGTGCCTCTTTCTGCTGCTGTGCATCACTGCGGATAACAATAACCCAAGGAGGCACCCAGGTATCTCAGACCTCCAAGAAATCTAGGTCACCGGTGACATTTTTTGAGAAGGTTGGTGCTTCCTAGAGAAGGCAAGAGTTTGGTGGGGAAAATGCAGTGGTAAACGTGGGGAAAAATAGAGGGGTAAGACAAATTTGGTAGTGTGCCAAATGAAACCAAGCATGTGGTGCTCTGCCCCTTTCCTGCCGCCTTATTTTCTGGGGGAGCTTTGTCTCTTGGGTGGCCCCCAGGGCACAGGGGCTCTGAGCTCCTTGTCAGGCCTGCAGAATGCACAAACTTGTGACGGGTACTTGGTGGGAATACTCCACAGTTTTGCCTCCTAGAGCATCATACAAAAGATGATCCTTTGTTGTTAGAGAAATAAGTTTTTAGGTAACTCCTGGCTCTGGAAAGGGGGAGCATCCTTTTATCTACGCCGTGTGCCAAGAACAATTTTAGCGTTCGTCTGATAACTTTCATTGAAGTGTTTTAAATCAGAGATTTCACCAGCAATTGAAGCGTTCAGACTTTATATGTCCTGTTTAAAAGAAAAAAGAAAATCTAGAGATCTATTGATTTGAAACACACTGTGTAAGCAAATAGTCCAGCGAAACTAACATTCAGAGGGTTTTGTGTTGTGAGTATAGCTGTGTCTAATGTTTGATCAGCTGAAGCCTGGCCTGTTGAGTTAGGTATTAGATGTTAATACCAATGGCAAGACCAAGGAACAGAATCTTAATCATGATTACTTTATATTGCCAAAAATGTAAAAACTGTCAGGAGAACTAGGATTGGCTTGTGTTGCACATAGCCAAATTTTATTATATTTTATTTTATTTATTTATTTTTTTATTTTATTTTTTTAATTTTATGATAGTCACACAGAGAGAGAGAGAGAGAGAAAGAGAAAGAGAAAGAGGCAGGGACATAGGCAGAGGGTGAAGCAGGCTCCATGCACCGAGAGCCCTATGTGGGATTCGATCCCGGGTCTCCAGAATCGCGCCCTGGGCCAAAGGCAGGCGCCAAACCGCTGCACCACCCAGGGATTCCCCATAGCCAAATTTTAAAGAATTTATATACCATCAGGAAATTTTAATGGATCATATAAGCAGGAGGACTGCAAGTGAAACTTTACTGAAAATACAAGCATCATGGTGACATCTGTATGACCTTTTGTTTTGATCCCTGGTTCTTAGCTTTCCCTGTGCACCAAAGTCACAGAAGAAGGAGATTTTACATACAGGTGCACCTGCCCCTCTGCATCTTGCCTCACCGAGTCAGTTGGGTGGGGATGGGGCCCAGCCAGGCATGAATTCTTTAAAAAAAACAAAACACACACGCGTGTCCACACCCATCCCACAAGGCATTCTGATTGCTGTCCCCGCTGAGATCTTTGGTCTAGATGTCAGAGGGTGACTTGAGGCACCGTCACCACTTGGTGGCAGTGTTGTTCCCTCTGTCTTGCTGGCCCTGCATTCTTTTCCAATCTCAGAAATCCCTTCTTTTTCCCCCTGTGATTTTGTTTTTGGGCTTGTTTTTGTTGCAGTATGTATCTCCCTTGTTCATTTCCAGCGTATTTGAATGGAGAGCTACCTTCTGAAATTGAGATGTGCTTTTTTCTTATTCTACAGGGTTCTTGGGCGTGGGTAAAATAAGAAAGAAAAAAAAAAAAGGTCTCTGCCAGTTGCATGGCTTTTTAAAATTGTTCTTAATTTACTCTCCATGTAACTTTGCTCTCCTGTGGTGAATAAAGACCAGGTTCAAGATAAATATCGCAAGCCAGAAATGATTGTTCATGGATTTCTGTAGTTTCAGCCTCCTAGATTTTCCCCCCTTTATTGTGGTTCTTGGCCCGTCATTACAGACTTTGGGAAGCATAGTGAATGGCAAGATTTTACCTTAGTTTGCTAATTTTGTGCATGATAACCGTTGTTAAGTTAGCATTGATTGAGCTTTTCCTTTTTTTTTTTTTTTTTTAAGATTTTATTTACTGATTTGACAGAAAGAGAGTGCAAGCAGGGAGAGGAAGAAGCAGGTTCCCTGCCAAGCAGGGAGCCCAATGTGGGGCTTGATCTTAGGACCCCAGGATCATGACCTGGGCCCAAGGCAGACGCTTACCCAACTGAACCGCCCAGGTGCCTGAGCTTTTCCTAATAAACCATCCACAGTAAAACACCCTGTCCTTAACACTTTGTGCAAAGGAGGCTGGAGCCAAGGTTGTTGGTGAGACAAAGAAACCATCTCAGCCTCTCTGCTTGGTGGGAAGGCTGCAGGAGCAGAGGGCCGGGTGCTGGGCACTGGAGGCCCTGGGATCCGAAGGCCTGGGTGTGAATCCCTGCTTAGAGCACTCTAGTTGGCAGGCTTAGGGCTAATTGAACTCCAGAGCCTGTGAAGGTGTGTCTGCAGGCTTAAAGCGCACAGTAGAAGATCTTGATTTGTCACCTTTGAACCTTAATCTTAGGTCATAGAGAGCTATTGAAACTTAAAAAGCGAGGGAATGGTTAAGTAGTCTGAAGATATTTTTAGGGGGCTACAATCTGTAGATATATTCGAACATGAAGCAGCCTCAGAATCCGGGCAGGACTGGGGTCAGGCAAGCAGGTGTCCTGCATGCAAAATTAAATGAGGCGCTCACTTTCAGGGTCCCGTAAGTCCAGACCCTGAGAATAAGGATCTCCTTAAATACCGCACCTTAGGTGCCTGTGTCCCTCATCTTCCTCCAGGCCCTCCTCGCAGCTGTGCCCTTCTACCCTATGGCCTGCTTGTGAGCTGGACAGCTCTGAGAAAGGGTTTGGCAGGAAAGGTTTGTTTTGTTTAAGAAACTGCTTTTTTGAAATATAATTCGTATACTATGCAATTTACCCATTTAAAGTGTACAGTTGAAAAAAAACTGTGCAATTCATTTTTTTAAAGATTCATTCATTCATTCATTCATTCATTCATTCATTCATGATAGACATAGAGAAAGAGAGAGGCAGAGACACAGGCAGAGGGAGAAGCAGGCTCCATGCCGGGAACCTGACACGGGACTCGATCCCAGGACTTCAGGATCGCGCCCTGGGCCAAAGGCAGGCGCCAAACCGCCAAGCCACCCAGGGATCCCCCAATTCATTGTTTTTATCCCTGTGTTCATAGAGGTGTACAGTCATTAACACAACTGCATTTTATTTTATTTTTTAAATATTTTATTTATTTATTCATGAGAGACACACAGAGAGAGAGGCAGAAACACAGGCAGGGGCAGAAGCAGGCTCCATGCAGGGAGCCCAATGTGGGACTCAATCCCAGGACCCTGGGATCATGCCCTGAGCCAAAGGCAGATGCTCCACTGCTAAGGTCCCCAGGCATCCCTAGCACAACCTAACTTTAAAATATTTTTGTCTCTCAAGAAAAAAACCCGTACCTCCCACCCCTCCTTCAAACCCGGGGCAGACGCTCATCTCTTTGCTGGCTGCCTCTTCTGACCATGCCATGCAAGTGGAATCATGTACTATGTGGCCCTTTGTGGATGGCTCTTTTCACTGAGATGTTTTCAGGGTTCATCACATTGTAGTGTGTATCAGTGCATCATTACTTTTTGTGGGCCATCAGTATCCATCATAAGGATAGGCCACATTTTGTTTATCCATTTGCCAGTTGTGATGGACATTTGGTCCCCCCCCCCC